CAGCAAAAAATGCATTTTTCTCCCTCAAAAAAATCTACATTTTTTACGGCCACGACTTTTTTCAATTTTAGGGGCACGCCCCATACAAAAAAAATTAGCTTCTCGTTAATGGTGAATCTATCACAATTCAATCTTAAAGAGAAAGGAAAAAAGCTTAAGACAAGATATGTTAATTTACAAGTTAAGAAATCTGGAAATTTGGTTATTATATAGGTGAGATATTTATCGAAACACGGTTGAAGAATTTGTAAATTTTATTGATGCACGAACCTGGACAAGAATTGATACCAAATGTACTATGAAATAGGAGAATTTACATAGATCAGTAAGGGCAGACTTCAATTTAGCGTGTTTGAATTGTTTACATAAATCGCTTCAGTGTTTTTGTTTCGAAAGTGGCTATGAAGTTGATCTCATATGTATATACAACGCGAGTAAAACTTTAGGACACACACGATCAAAAATGATACGAACTGTCTTATTTTTAGAAGTCCTATGAACATCAAGCATCCAGGACATTTAAATTTTACAGCCTTCATTTCCCCTTCAAAAATACTTGAACCGTGAACGATACACAAATTGTTCACAGAAGTACAAACTTCTCAGATCAAGCTTTCGAAGAATCTTTATGTCTCGTCTCGGAGCTCGCGAAATGTACCCCTGATGCAAAGCGTAACGCACTTCTTGGAAAGCTTGGAGAGCTAAGACCCTAGAGCCTAATTAAGCTTGGAGTGCTTGTCGTCAAGAGCTCTAGAGTCTATTGTTGAAGAGAAGAGATATAAGTATAGGTTTCACTCAAATACAATGAACTCAAAGGCTCATAGTTTTCTTCATTCTTTGATTGAACTGGTTGTAGGCGTAGTTCGTTGTCCAAACTGGAATTTGAAAGTACAAAGTGCAAATCCTAGAGCAATAAATCTAGACTTGTTCATCAAAAGATCCATCATCCACTAAAATTCATCAGATTCACTCGACAACGGACAAACAGGTACTGGATAAACCGTGTTTACCATTTCAAGGCTTCCAAGTTCCTTCACATCGCTTTACGTTTCACAGAGTTGACACAGGTACAAGTTGTTTACATATGTACCTTAACACGGTATATATATGTGATCATCATGATCGAATCGGGTAATTTTCAGGCTTCAACTAGGAAATCTCTACAAGAAAGAATGGACATTTCTTTACTATCTTTCTGGATTTCATAAATGATATACGCTAAAGTTTTTAGTTTCGTTTCAAAGACGTTGTTCCTTATTTTGCTTTGAAAATAGCTGTAAGCCTGCCTTTATAAAACCTTTGATTCCCAATTTTTCTAGTAAACTGGTGTAATTTTTGATGAAACGTACTCTTGATCAAAGTTTAATAAATATTGATATATAAACTTCTGAATTCAATATTTAACTGGTGCTCAATCAATTATTACTAGATTACATTGCTGCTTTTATTATTGATTAGCCTAGCCAACCTATAAATTTCAATAACATTAATTAAGGGTTCTATGCAGGGTTTGAAATCATCACTTAATTAAATGAAGGGAATTCATCTACATTAACTATTATTTCAAAACAAACAAATGATTTTTTTTATATTGTCATTAAAAACAGAAAGGTATAAAATAAATGTATCTAAACTAAAATGGCTGTGAAACTACCAACAACCAATAAAGCCATGATTGAAGTGAAGATTTGACCATTTTTGAATGATGAGGCACCAGATGATGAACCGGAACCAGAGCTTGATGAAGAAGCTGATGAAGATGAAGAAGAACCTGAACCTGAACCTGAAGAACCTGAAGAACCACTTGAACGGGAACCAGATGCACTCAAAGATTGGGTAACTGAACCAACACCTTCAGAACCAGCTTCACTTAAAGCTGAAGCACATGATGAAGCAGTTGAAGCTGATTTAGTTGAAGCTGAACCATCAAAGTCACAAGCTCTAGCAGATGAACCATTTTCTTTATAGTATAAATTCAAAACAAATGATAATTGTTGTTTTGAGCTACATGGTGAGAAAGCACCATATTCACCAGTGGTACCATTACCTGAAATACCATCACATGAAACTAAACCACAGACAGTACCAAATAAATCACCATAATCTTCAGAATCAACATCATCACTAACAACACAACCTAAAGATTCTTGCATACATTCACATAAACCTTCATTTGGAATTGGTGGTAATTCAGTTGAGGCTTTCCAGTCACTAAATTGAGTTGGACATGATAATAAAGTTGCAGATTCTGAAGCATCTGAAGCAGTTGCAGCTGATGGAGAAACTTTTTTAATTTCACTTGAATAATGAGCATAGTCTTCTAAAGTTTTAACATCACCATTTGAAATAGAAACTAAACCATAGTTGTTAGCTTCTTCAAAATACATATAAACAATACCACCAGACCAAACTTCAGTCATTTCATCACTGTATAAGGCTGCAACTTCAGTGAATTCTCTTGGTGAAACTTCATTACAACCATATTCTGAGAAGAAAATTGGAACTGATAAATTTGCAAATTCTTCAGTACGATCAGCATAACCAGATTTTTGGAAAGTTGATTCACCACACCATTCATACATATTAATACCATAGAAATCAGCTTTAACATCATCATCACCACATGCAAAATAATCAGCAATGGCAACTCTTGTTGGTTCATCATCATTTGAAGAATAACCAACTGGAATATCTCTATAACCTTGGTCTTTGATATAAGCTTTGGTGTCTCTAATAGCAGCTTTAACATAAGCTGAAGCATCTGTGTTGGTATTATCATTGGTGACTTCGTTACCTGCAAAGAAACCTAAAACATTGGTATAGTTTTGAAATTCATCAACAACATGGGTATAACGGTTATATAATTCAACGGTCCAAGTTGGAGAATCTCTGTTAACTGATAAACCTGGCTCTGATAAATCAGCAATGACATAGATACCATTCTTGGCTAATTCAGTCATACATTCAGTATGATCTTGTGAAGCATTCAAAGCATAAACACGGATAACATTTGTATCAACAGCAGCTAAATATGGGATATCACGTTTACAACTTTCAACATCAGCTAAAGGATCTTTATAACCTTCACCATCTGTGACGTTAGCAGTATCTTGTTGATAAGCAATACCTTTCATGAAGAATTGAGAACCATTATTGGAATAAAAGAATTTATTACCAATAACTTCAATAGCTGGTAAATCTTCACCTTTAACAGCTTGGAATAAAGAAGCAGCAGCTAATAAACTTGAAGCCAAATTGAACAACATATTGATTACCTTTTATGATCTTTTAGAATAAACGAATGAATGAATCAAAGGTTGAACAAACGATTGGGATAAAGAGTCAGAAGGTGATGATTAAATCAGGTTAAAAAGGAGAACCATTTTGTTATTTATTTGTTTTCAATTGGAAATCAAAATTCCCAAGAAAAAAATCATCGGCGCAGAAATCAATGTGTTTTCAATTTATAAATGTGCCTTTTCTACCCAACTTGGTAATTAAATTTGGGAACGCGCCGAAAGGAAAGTTAAAATTGCATGAAAAAAACTGATTTATGGGGCTTAAAATCTGGCAGTTTTATGGTATAAACAGTGGGAATTCAGTTTTAAAAAGTAGATTTTGTAAAGATTAATGATATATGAGGTATAGTAGTACTTCATTGTTATTATGGCTAAAATTTCCAGTACAATATCTAAATTTTTGACACAACCAAGTGGTTTTTAACAAAAGATTCACGGATGATCCAAGGTTGAAAAATTCCAAATCACCGTGTTTCGATAAATAACTTTTGTTTTGAATTTTCCAGAAATGAACAAAATGGCGGAAAAGTTTGATGAGAGTTTTATAATTCGTAAATTAAACCGGAATTTTAAACTTCTCATAACGACGATATTACCGAATACAGTAACAAAAGAAACTTTTGCACAAGACGCGATGAGAAATGATCTAAAAACAGCACAAATGTGCCAAATGGCGTAAATTTGAGATCAAGATCATATAACCGTTGATTTTTTCCTTCACATATAAGCTGATAAGTATTCAGTATTTACGAGAGTCTCAAACTGTCACCATTTGAGTGTTTATCATCCAATATATATAAATGACAAGTGTACAATTGATAGCCAGTCTTATTTCTTATTTCCATTGATTCTCAACACTCAACACTCACGAGTCAACCACCTCCTTTGTTCAAATAGTCAATCACATTCTCGATTCTTGGTATCTTGGATGTCTTTGGCTGTGTTTGAACCACCAAGTACTTAATACACATCATACATTAATGTTTCTAAATATATATTTTATTATATCAAAACATTGAAACTTTGGAACAAAGGGCACGATCTACGTTTGCTAAATTACTTATCAAGAATTTATATGAATGTAAATTATCAGTGAGCTGGTCGCTAAGTTCTAACTCAATAGGTTGATTGGCTTGCGGTAAATATACATCAATTATTCAGTGATTCGAATTTCGAACACATTATATAATTACTTATTGATAGACACGTATGTATTAAATTGAGCGAAAGCGATAAATACTAGAATCATGAAGCTAGTTACGTTAGTCGTGACTCGTGACTCGTGAGCTCATATCAATACTAGATAGTAATCTAGTTGCATATTTCAATAATATTTGAACCTTTCAGATAGAATGCTGATTATTAGGAGAACTAATAATTTAAAAACGCGCAGCTCGCGTTATATAACATGTTAGCATTCAATTCACCAAATAAGTTGTAATATTATCGGTTGACATATACTGAATTGGTACTATTATAACTTAAATACTACACACAAAAAGCTTCTTAGAATCATCATTTCACAACTCACAGGATCATATCAGCAACCTGATACTGTTTTATATAAGCCGCTTTCAATTACCAAGTTGTGAATTCTACGTGAAAATACTCAAATTAGTTCAGTACGGAATTGAACGTACATTCTTGTATACATTTCACCATACCGTCTTGAAAGTAGGCATTGCTGGGGTGGTTGTGGTGATTGTTGAAGGTGCATTATCTCCTGTGTCATCATTATCTTGATTATTTGGTTGGATAAGACCTGATGCCATTGTTCCTTCAAAAAGATCCGATAAATCTCTCATAAATCTATGGGTCAAAGCTGGAACTAAAACTATTGCTAAGAAAAATAATAATACTATGAAGTATAATATAAAATATCTTATAACTGTTCTTCTTTTTCTTCTTTGTTCTGATTTTTTTAATACTCCAGGCCTCAACTGTTTACTAGGCCTTAACCAAAATAAAACCATAGAATGCCATCTATCAATAAAAGGAATGAAAATGAATGGTGTTTGAACAAATAAAAGACAATGTCCAATGATAAAATCAACCGAAAACAATGTCATCTCAATGATTTTGACTAAATATTCTCTTAAAGGTTGTAACACAAACTGCCATCCAACTTTTGTTGTATACCAATTGCCTGACCACCATGCTCTACTTGCCTTATCGTTTTTAAATTCTCGAGGTAAAAGAATGATTGTTATTGACTTTAAAAGAAAGTTTTGAATGGATATAATACAAAGTATAGTGACCAAGGTTCTTGCAAAATTCCATCCTTCTGAAAGCCAGATCACTTCAAACATCAATAAGTGGACAAAAACCGAAATAACATGTGCAAGTGCAGCAAAGAAATTGGAAATCCCTCTGAAACAACATAATGCGGTCATCAATGGTCCAATCAAACAAGATAAAGCAAAAATCAACACAAGTGTTACACTGTTAATCAAAATTGGTGCGAAAACTAAAATTATTAACCTCAAAACCGAGTTTGTAGCTTCAACATTTCTAACCCCATTCTGAGCATTGATGAATGTATATGCAAAAAATAAAAACACAGACTGTATAAATGGAAGAAGAAGTTCAGTGAGGAATGTATTGTACAAATGTGACTTTTTAAGCTCACCTGAACTTGACTCTGAATTATGCCCAATAACCTTCTTCTTGAGGCCCGTGTATCTAATTCTTGATTGTTTCACATGATTTACCCATGAGTTTGAATGCCACTTACGATTACCTTTGGACAACCAGTGGATGAAATCTTTATAATCAACAAAAAAATCTGCAAATGCAAATTGATGAGGATTAAAAATGAATGGTGCTAGACACATAGACACCAATGTTATCCAAAACCAAAGAAGTGCTGGTTGCCATATTGATACAGTTGCAAACAATAACATTAGGAACAATTTAGTACCTGAATAGATTGATGAACTGGCAAATTTGGAGTACAAGTAAGAAAAGTGTATTCGTGACACTGCAAACCCTCTACCTGTACTAATATATCTTGCACCACCAAAAGTTATATCCACAATCAATGACGTAGCATATATTTGACACACAAAAACTTCAAAGAATGGTGACAATGAAGCCAAATGATGGAAAAACCTTGAAACAGCTCTCCAAGCACCCCTTTCTGTTAGTTCCTGAACAAGAAGCGGTACAAATGCAATGAAAAACACAATGAAAACAGAAAGAACAAAAATAGTAACCCAATCCAACACTGGTTGTAAGTTATAACACCCTAAGGGTACTTGTAAATCTGTGAATGGGATGTCTTTGTCGTATTCACAAATGGTGGATTCATGGGCTAAGGCTCCAAGATTAACCAAAACAATCATGAAAAGTTGGACAGACAAGACAATAAAAAGATTATTGACATGAAATCCAGCATGTGCGTAATAAAAAGATAGAAATCTATCAATTGGCAATTGAGTTCCAAGATAGTAATACTCTCTCGATAAAATCTGTTCTCCCATACCTGCACCAATTTTAGTGGTGAAATTCAAGATAGATCCAAAACCCAAATCACGACCCTTTCCACACTGGTAGTAATCACTATGTTTTATCCTACCTCCTCTTATTAAAGCATTCATACCAGCATAAATATCTTCATTCAAATGTAAACCTTTTTGAGCTTTCGATATACCACCTCGGGTCGTCATGAATATACCATTTAAAAAATCAGGATGTCCATAATGTAGTTTACCTCCAATCTCTGCAAGTGTACGAGCAAATAAAGTACCGAATGTTTGTTCTTTACCTGCTGCAATATCACCTAAAACACCAATGTTTTCAGAAAAAATGTATTCTCGAGCACCAACAATTGCGACAGGATCCAGATCATTTTTATAAAGGATACCAGGAACATATGGAGGAGTGTTATCTATGTCCATTTCCTCAAACTCGGCTAAAACAGACCTTATTTTGATACACTCTTCTAAATAATTGTCTTGGTTAGCATCAACAACCTGAATATATTCACCACGATAAAAAATTATTGAATGATTTTGGTTATCAGATTTTCCATCACCTAAAATGGGGTTACCTGAAAGTTTGACTTTATAACGAGGAATTCTATCTCCATTCTCATCTTTATCTGAAAATCCATCAATCATACAAGAATAAAATGTTTTGTGACGCTGTGGGTGACTCTCATCAATCTCCTCCAAAAGGTATGATATTTTGATGTCAGGATAAGCTCTTAAAAGAAACTCTGTATCATCTTTTTCTTCCTTTGTAAATCTAGCATACCTTTGCATGGCAATAACAAGTTTATATTTTCTCTGAGCCATGGCTTCTAAATCTTGCTCTAAACCAACTTGGTCAGGACCATAATATTGTACAAGATCTGGGGTTTCAACACGATAAAGTAACTTCAAAGCCCTTACATAATTTGTGAAACCGGAGGCTGTACGATAAAGAGTTTGAGTTCTTAAAGAAGCCCAAATTCTGGTTCTCAAAATGAATTCCGGTGAAGATGTCTTGAAACCAATACAATAAAATGGCAAGTCATTAATTCTACCTTGAAGAATGTCATCCTCTGGTGTTGTTGGGACTGCCTTAGACCTTCTGAAACGAATACCCTTCCTTTTGACACGAGGATCTTGGATACCATCCATCTCATCATCAATTTCATCAGATTCATCATCTTCAACACCGTCTATTTCCACAATTTCTTCGTTCGTATCAGTTTTAGTTTTAGGGTCTTCATCCTCTTCATCTTCGTCCACTCTATAGTCCAAAGGACCACCAAGATCATTTTTCCATCTGTTGGTTAAATCGTACTTCACATACGTATCTGGTAAACTACCATTATTAGTAGCTAAAAGCTTTGTATCCTTCACAAAACAATCCCATTCAGTAGGGTACAACTGCTTCAAATACTCCATTAAAGTAATTCTAGAGTTTGCATTATCTTCACGAATAATTTCCTTCAAAGATAATATAATTTTCTCACCATAATGAGGAATCAATACTGTAAATATTGGCATACTCTGTACAAGAGTTGGTTCAGGTATTGGAGTTGAGACGGATTGTGCAAAAAATGAAATACGACGAGCAGCCTCTGACTTGGGTGGGAAAAATTCTTTTGATTTGAATGTTGAATCATCATGTGCAATAAAGAATGATGGTGAGCGAAGAGATCTTTTTGAGGTAGTATCTGATACAATTTGGTGATATAAAAGTCTGGATACCATTTCTATAGGTAAAATGTGTTCACGATACATTGAGATTATAATAGCATTCCAAATCTGTGAAACCAAAAGTTTTGGTTTATACTTTATTTCCATTTCACTTGTTGCCAATAACTTTGAATATATTCTCTTGGGTAATCTGGAATAAACGTTTCTCCATGGTGACATTATTGAAATACCCAAAGAAAAGGATAGACCAACACTAAATAAACAATTACAGACAATATACCAAAGATATGTGTCAAGAAAGAAAAGAATCAAATCAGTCAAGTAAATAAGACCCAATGTTATTCTTGGTTGTTGGCGACAAAGTAAAGACCCAATAAGTTTATCCCCATGACACCTTGTCATCTCCATAATAGAAAGAACCCTAATTGGATCTCTAAGAGAAAGAGTCAAGAAGAAATAAGATTCGACAAACTTTGCAGTGAATATTGTAACCCAAAGTAACCCTGAGAACCAACGGCTTCTACCTGTGATCTTGGGAAACGCTGCTGTAAATGTTCTGGCTGCAACGTTCCTTCTGGACTTCATTGAATAACCACCAAGTAATGAACCTAAAGGTTGGACTGAAAAATATATGAAAGTAATAATTGCTATGGTGAACTGAACAATGGAAGCAATATATGCAGAGTTGGAGTGTGTTTCAAGGTCAAAAAAACCAAATGTATAAACCGATGGACCAACGTTGATAATAGTCATGAAGATAAGAAAGAGTAGTCTCTTGGTTAAATGTTGTGCACCTGGCCATTGACGAGGAACAAAAGACCATTCAGCTAGAGTGGCTATGATTTGAACTAAGCATGCAACACCACCTCCCAAAGCTATAGCAGACCATCTACTTTGAGGTGTTGGTGGATTATCCAATAACTGATTATAATCATGCGTGTATAAAGTTGGGGAGTTAAAAGTTGTGAAGAACCAAAATGATGATAAATGTATCACCCAAATTCTATTAAAATTTGTTGCAAGGTGTAACCAAGTTCTTTTTTCCTTGTAAGTCTTATAAAAGGCCTTTTTCCAATTAGCATTAGCTAGCTTCAAATAGCGTTCCTCGAGTTTTATATCAACTAATCTTTCTTCTGTATCATTCAATTTGATTCTTTCAATACCTTCAGGATACCAAAATAATTGATTAACATCATCGTAGCCAATGATATCTTTATGATCCTTTTCTTTCCGTACCAATTTACCACTAGCATCCACGGTGTACATCTGATCTCTAATATAGTTATAAAGTGGTGTGACAATATTATTCAAGTAGTGGAATTCCTCAAGTGGTGGTCCAGACTGACACAGCGGCGACTTGAAATAATCATATGCGCATTTATATATAAAACATAAGCATTCAGGCAAATATCTTACTTGATTAGCTTCTCCCCAAAGCAAAAGGTATAATGCGATTTGTTCGATCTTTTCATGTGGAGTCAATGCATTCATTTTGCTCTTCCATTTGAACCCAGCAGCTTGAAGGTCAAGATTCCTTTCAGTTTGTTCAGGTGAATATTCAATTTTGGCATTTTTCTCCATAAATGCAATCTCATCTTGTTGTGCTTTATCACGATGTTCTTTCATATTGACATTATTTTTCTTAGCCATCTGTTTATTTCTCCTTTTAGCCTTACCTTTTAATTTCATGTTTGAAAACCCAATCTCTTCATCAAGATCTAATTGAGCTGCAAAGAACCATTTTCTATAATTTGCATGTTGACCACCAATATAAGAAGCATGTAAAGATACCAAAGCCTCCGCTGGCATTAAGCGACTAGCTCTTGAGTCTAACTGTACCATAAGATGATCATACATATTTTCCATTGATGACCTTTGAAATCCAAATTTAACAGTAATATCTTCAAAAATAGCACGTATACCACCTTGAGATATAGGTACATCATCCAACCAACACGGATAAGGGCCTAGTGCTTTTAAGTTTGGTAAGTTTGCAGGTGGTTCTCCTCCACGATTCTGTGTCTGTTCTGTTTGCTGTGTTTGTTGATGATGATTGTTTATTTGACCTTCAATTGGTTGTTGATTTGGATGTTGTTCATACTGCAACATATTTCCTTGTTGATCATATTGCTGATATTGAGGACCATTTTGCTGATATTGAGGACCATTTTGAGTTTGATATGATTGTTGACCTTGAGGCAGGTATTGATAATTATTAAAGTTCTGCTGTTGTTGCTGAAATGGCAGTTGTTGTTGTTGGTAATGTGTAAATTGGGGCTCATATTGAGGATGAAATTGTGGTTGATAAAGAGGTTCTGGTTGGAATTGAGCGTCCGGGTTCATTTCATGAGCGACTGGAACACCTGGTATATCTGGTATCCTTGGATCATCTGCTATGACTCTCCTATCATTCCTAGCGGGACCGCTATGCTGAAAAGCCCCAGGAGCTGACATGGCTCTTAATGAAGTATTTCTTATAGCTTGTAGCTTTTAATCTCAGCTCTTCTTAATGCACAAGTCTGAGTACTTTCAAGCAGCACAGCGAATAAATCAAAGACTATAGACAGTCTACCTCATTTTTTCAAAATATTAATCGCCACAAACAGTCAGCATATTTTCAATTTTTAGGAGTTGACAATAAGCGTAGACCTGAATATGGTTTTGTGTCAACTTTAATAAAAAGAATTCAATATGTAAACAATAATAATAATATATTCCGACCTGACAGTCACATGATCATATATTTCTTTTCCGACTGAGGGAGTAGTGCTTTTACCATATAAGCGGACGTGAAGTTTGAGCATCAAAAAACCGAAATTTTCCGTACAAGGCATTCAGAACCTGACCAATAACAGGTTGTGAAAGCTTTGATTTCTAAACGTATGTAAAGGTTAAAAGTTAAAGCGTTAGAAAAAACTATATGGATCAGCAGGGAATCATGAAAAAGCTGCGAAGGGATGTCAATCATGACGATACTTTTAATAAGTAAACTTGAAAAGGAAACTGATGAACAGGATGAACAGGATGAACAAGATACTCAAGATACTCAATCACCAAAGAATAATGGGTGAAGTTCTTCATGAATAAAGAATATAATTTGTCTGAAAACATCCGAAAAAAAAACAACAACACGAATATTCACGAGAACAACAAACATGATCCCTGAATATCTAAAAATCTAAAAGCTTTGTATGGTGTGTCGCAAAACAATTTGGCGCTAAACTTTAAACGTGTATAAACTTTTAAAGGCGAAAAGCTGCAATTCAACTTTCAAGTTCCAAAATTTCGCAAAAAGTGTAAAATTTTCTTTGGTTTGTTCTTGATTTGGTTAGATTTTAGATGAAAGATCTTCAAAGCTTGTGGTTACGCTTATATAATAAAAGTTCATTGATCTCTTTAAACAGGTAGCTAAAACATACAAATTACGTGCTTAACAATCGATCTCTTGAACAATGATAATTTCAGGACAATCATAACACTATCATTCAGTATGAAATGTTCAATTGAACTTTGAAGACAATAATACCTCATTGAATGGTGTGAACCCTTAAGTATTAACAAGAACTTCTCGAATTCAGTATAATCGTGCAACAGGACGTAACAAAAAGCTTTTGAGATATCTCCGTGGCCTTGAAGTTCACCCACCAAGTTGAAGCTCTAGGCAGAAACAATTGTATGAACATCTGCCTAAGTTAAAATCAGATACACGCGAGTCGCGACTTCTAGGCAGAAAGTTTTTACGTGCTCCTGCTGAACACTATCTCGCGCTTGGCCATATCTGGCTAGAACCTTTCCTTTTTCCTTTGTTTCGCGGACAAAGATCGATCTAAATCTCTGCTCAACTGAACCCTCTGAATATCATCATCAACAGAAATTGTTCATCACATCACCTTACACCAAATACTAAGAGGATATACAAGATATACAAAACCAAAAATCTCCGTTATAACAACTTACAACTACCCTCTCGATTCCCTATACCCAAACCAAGGATAATAATAACAAACGCGTTTCATAAGTGTGATCATTGCTCCTCAAATCTTCCTTAGCTACCTACACAATTCTTAGGTATCAAACAAATGCCTCTTGGAGCTCTCCCAATCTCCCAATCTAGATTTTGCAAAAAAGCGCAAAGAGCGAAAATCCTGTTTACCAATTGCCATATCTGGTATCCTTATGCACTTTTCTCATGCATAAACTGCCCAGAGGTCAGGATACCGTGCATAATTGACAGTCAAGTTTCAATTCTGCGTAAACTTTCTTTCAAAACATAGACAACCTCTTGTGAAAGAAAAAAAATTCATCATGGTCTCCCTTTTAATTGCACCTTTTCCCTACTTTTCCACTTTCTTCAACAACTATCTTTCACAGAGTCAACCAGAATAAGAGATAATTTCTCAACCAACTTTGTTCCTTCCTTTACACAGAGTTACTCTATTCTATTCAGTCCTTCGTTAAACTTCAATCTTTAGTTCAAAAATCAAAACATTCGTTCATTTCGTCAAGAATCAAAACAAAACATAAACAAAATACCCACCTTCATTTAAATCATAATGTTGTTCTCAAGTTTATTCAAATCAGCTGTCGCTGCTACTTTAATCGGTTCATCCGTTGCTTCTCCAGCTCAACATGCTCACAATGAACATAAACGTGGTGTTGTTGTTGTTACTCATACTTCAACCGTCATTGTTACCGCTGGTCAAAACCAAGTTGTTGGTGGTCAATCAACCACTAGAACTTTCTCCACTGTTGACACTGGATTAGCTGCTCCATCATCATTATCAACCACTATCTCAAGGGATGCTCCAGTTGCTGATTTCTCATCTCACACTTTCTCATACTCTTCAGATGCTACCACCACTTTAGCTTCTGCTTCAACCACTTCTACTAAAGAAGAATCATCAGTTGCTCCATCATCAACCTCATCAACATCATCAGCTGCTTTACCATCATCAACCGGTGGTAACAACTTCTCAGATGGTAAAGGTGTTACTTACTCCCCATACACTGCTTCAGGTCAATGTAAATCATCAGATGAAGTTAAAAAAGATGTTTCAGCTTTAAAAGGTTTTGAAATTATCAGATTATACGGTGTTGACTGTAACCAAGTTGAAAACGTTTTACAAGCTAAAGCTGATGGTCAAAAAGTCTTCTTAGGTGTCTACTTTGTTGATCAAATCCAAGATGGTGTTAACCAAATTGCTGATGCCATTGAAAAATACTCATCATGGGATGATGTCCACACTGTTTCTATCGGTAATGAATTAGTTAACGGTGGTTTAGCTTCAGTTTCTCAAGTTGGTGAATACGTTCAAGCTGGTAAATCTGCTTTAAAATCAAGAGGTTACACCGGTCCAGTTGTTTCAGTTGATACTTTCATTGCTACCATTAACAACCCAGGTTTATGTGAACACTCTGATTACATTGCTGTTAACGCTCATGCTTACTTTGATCAAAACACTGAAGCTCAAGATGCTGGTGAATGGGTCTTATTACAAATCCAAAGAGTCTGGACTGCTTGTGGTGCTGATAAATCTGTTTTCATTACTGAATCAGGTTGGCCATCAAGAGGTGACACTTACGGTAAAGCTGTTGCCTCAAAAGAAGCTCAAAAATCTGCTATTGAATCAATTAAATCCACCGTTGGTGATTCAGTTATCTTATTCAATGCTTACAATGATTTATGGAAAGCTGATGGTGCTCAAAACTGTGAAAAATACTGGGGTATCTTATCAAACTAAGTTTGATTTAAACTACTTATCCAGTTTGATTAAATTTGATTCTTTTATATCCAATTATTAAAGATTTTTTAAATCAATTTTATCTTTTTTTATTTCTTATATCGGTGATGAACATGATTCAGGTGTTGTTCTTGAGTTCATGATTTTGATTCAGTTTCTACTAAACATTTTATTATTTTTAGCAATATTTTATATCCAATTTTATTTGATACCAATATATGACAATATATATTATACTTTAAAAAACACTGCTCTCGTATTTTTTTAGATAACTACGAGACGTTTGAAAACATTATTAATCTTCGTGAAAATCTCAATTACGTACATATCCACCTCTACCTCTATAATTACCACGACCACCTCTCCAATGGCCTCCTCCTCGACCTCTACCTCTATTGTATCCACCTCTCCCTCTATATCCATCATCTCTATAGTTGTTATACGGCCTATCATCTCTCTGATATTCTCTGCCTTCAATAGATCTTTGAACACCTGGGGATGGAGTTCTTGAATATCTTCTTGGTGGAGTTCTTGACCTTGATCTACTTCTTGATGGTGTTCTTGAATATGATGCATTTCTTTTAAAACGCTTATTATCCCTTGAAGGTGATCTTGATGGTGTTCTAGAGTATCTTCTTCTTGGTGGTGTTCTAGAAGGTGATCTCGAATATGAAGGAGACCTAGATCTTAAATAATTCCTTCTAGGAGGCGATCTTGAATACGAGACTGACCTAGATCTCGAATATGTTCTTCTTGGTGGTGATCTTGAGTATGAGGCTGATCTTGATCTTGAATATGAACGGCTTCTTGAATATGAACGAGATCTGGAATATGAACCTGATGATCTTGAGTATGACCTAGATCTAGAACCAGATCTTGATCTTGAACGACCACGTCTTTCTTCTTCTTCTTTTTGTTTATTTACAATGTCTTGTAATGAATCTCTCATACGTTCGGTTAATACACCTAACCCAATTGCAGTGAAATAATTAATAGAAAATCTTAAATGATCAGCATTTTCGAATGGGAAAATACCACTAAGGAATGGTTGGATATATTCTTCACTTATTCTTTCTTTTAAATGTGGTATACCTAATTCCTCAACAAGTTCTTGAAAAACAAACTTGATGAAAATACGACCAGCAGATGTTGTATCACTTTCTGTAAGTTTTATAACTTCAAGAGCTTCCCAGTCTAGTGAGTCACTAGATAATAAATGACCCCAGAATTTCGAAACGTTTCTCAATGGATTGGATTCATATCTATGAATTGTAGTGTAATTTTCTTCAAACATCTTCTTGAAGGCTTCATTCCAAGTTCTACCTTGACGACAAAGTTTTTCACCTGTAACACCATAATATTTAGAATATGTTGTCTCTTGAGAACAAGCTTTAACAACCATATCAACAACTTTTTCTTGATCTTCAACTTTGACACGTAGTTTTAATAATTTATGAACAGCTTCATCTGCAGACATACTACCTTTCAAAATTAAATATATGGTTTTTCTAAAATTTGTTAGATTGGTTTCAGTCATATCTTTGATCTCAAGAGCTGCAATATCGTCTTGTTTTTCAGTGACATCTTCACCTTCCTCTTCACTTTGAACAACTTCTGCATACTCATCATCTTCATATTCACCTTCTTCTTCGTCGTCGTTTTCATCATCATCTCCCAAGATATCCACTCTAACCTTATTATATTCTTCTTCGTGATCTTCATAGCTCTCATCAAATTGGAATACATTCAATCCGTCTTGTGCTTTGAGTTTATCATCAAGTCCAATTTTATGTGTAGTCTGGTCTTCCTCTTCAACTAAATCCAACCCTTCTGGTATTATTTCATAACCTTTAAACTCATCTCTCCGTAGATGAAATAATACTTCAATCATATATTGTGTTCTTTTTTCAACTTTCCCTTCTTGAAGGATGTATCTTAATTTTTCAAATATCTCTGATGTAGCAGCAGGACTTACCTCTGATAAAAATAATCCAATGTGTTTAAGTAAACCAACTGATATATCAACAGAATCATCAGTAGGATTGTTTAACAAAAGATGAAGGATTTGTAACGTTAAGATTTCATGTGAGACCTGTTGATTACATAGATGTGCAATGAAAGTTGTTGATGAAGTACAAAGTGCCTTGTTGTTTCTCTTAAATGCTTTTCTAAATTGTATAACCAACCGACTAATCAATAAGCTTCCAATTTGTGGTAACTTTGAGTTTAGCACAGCAACAAGCGATGCATAAACAGGTGTGAATGTCAATGCTTGACTTTGAGCTTTCATGATACTCCTTATAAGTAGACCGAGACCTCTATTAAGATTCAATTTGAATAAGTCAACAACGATTGTCTTAAGGTTAGCTTTATTAGCTTTATTGACAAGACCATTGATATTTTTCTTTAACTTCTCCCATTCTAATTTCTGATATTCCTTTGACCCCTTTGCCAAATTTATTTGATCTAATAATGCTTTGAGCTTAGCAGGTGGAACATAACGACCACCGGACCTTAAATCTTGTAAACGTTTATATTCTTCTAATGGGTCTAATGACTTTACTGGTTCTTCTTTAACTTCAGCTGGTTTGTCATTCCCGAGGTCTTTTGCAACCTGTTCCAGAAACTTTGCACTCTCTGACATCTATTTATTTGAATTATTACCAGTCTATTCAAAAAAGCTTTTAATAACCCTCAGATTGATGGATTTTCAACGACTGATCCAATATTTACCATAATAAAATCAAGTATATAAGCGTATAATTTTCACCACGACAATAATTTTCGCGGAAACTCTTGTTGCGTGTCTGTACCATTACCTGAGAAATGCTTATAACAATTAAATACTAATTTGATTTCAACTTTTGGCAAGAACCTATTCCAACGGAACTTCATAGAATCGTCAGACAAATATCATACACAATAATGAGCTATAGATCATCAATAATTTTGCTCAAAGACACAGAGTCAATTCAATCATATGGTCCGCTGATTTCCAAAGCTGCTGAACTCTCCACCATAGATAGCTCATTGGACATATTGATTGTGTCTCCAGTAACAAAATTAAACCATTTAGATGTTTTACTAGCTGAAATTTATACATTGGCTACGGATACTTTACAATTGACTGAAAAACCACAAATCAAAACTCGTGTTCTTTTTAATAAACACTATAAAGATATCAAAGAGCCTGATTGGGATTTGTTAATACTTGACACATCAGATAATTCACTTGATGAATTTGAATATGAAGATAGAGATTTAATACATACTGTTAACGTACAAAGATCTGAAAGTGAACCAATAAAGTTGAAGCAAGAAAAGGATGACTCTTCCGAATCTATTGAAAGTGTTGTTGCTCTTGGTGGTACTTTTGATCATTTTCATGATGGTCACAAAATTCTTTTAACAGCTGGTGCCTTCTTAGCTAAAGATAAATTGATCGTTGGTATAACAGATGATGAATTATTAGAAAAGAAAAAATACAAGGAATTTTTACAATCATATGATTATAGAAAACATGTTGTCTTAGAATTTTTAAACCATATAAGGCCAGATTTAGAAATTGATCCAAACGCAATTCGTGATATTTGTGGCCCAACTGGTTATATAGAAGAAATTGATTCATTAGTTGTCAGTAGGGAAACCATAGCTGGTGGTGATTATATCAATAAGTTTAGAGCTGAAAAGGGATTTAGACAGCTAAAAGTCCATGTTATTAATGTCATTGGCGGTGAAGAAGATGATGGGTTCCAGAACAAACTGAGTAGTACACAATTAAGAAAAGAAGAATATGAAGCCACTCATAAGACATCAGCTGGATTATAATCAGCTTGGCTTATGAGAATATAAAAATATGATATGTTGTTAAACTCATTGTACATGAAAAACCAAGCTCGAAGGCAAAATATGTGCTATTTTTTTTCTAAAAATCAAATTAAATACTAAACAATATTATAAGTAAAACAAATTTGTAAAATCAAATATCATTAAAATTTCATCATCATTACTGATATGGTGGATATATACAAATGTGATGTTCATGAAACGAGTGAATATCAAATAGCAGAAATCATTTAATAGAAATACCACCACCTTGTAAGCTACCTTGACGACTTGTACGATTTGGGTGATCCAAACACAAAAAGTCACTTTCTGTAACTTCATCAAAGGTAATCAGATCATCATCTTCTAAATAATGTGGTCTTCTAAATTGTGCATCCCAAACACAAATATTTACTTTACTAAATTCTCTTTGACCTAAACCAAATTTCTTTTGTAAACGTGATTTAGTTTCTGATAATTTTTCATCAGGCAATAAATTAAAAATAAATGAAATTCCGTGTAATCTGGATGGATCTTTATTGAACTGTATAACTGGGACCAATCTTTCTTGGTTTTTAGCATTACCATTTTCATCAACATCAGGTAAATCTTCGTTGTTGAATTGAGTTTCAATAAGTTTTGTTTCCTCTGGTAAATTAGCAGCAAATACAGTCATTGTTTGTTCTATTTGATTAACAGAAATTTCTGGATATAGAATATGATAGAATTTGAAGTTAATATTAGCCCAAACAAGAATATTTTCTTTATCTTCATCTTTGAACCCAGTTTTCAGTTGTAATTTATCAATTATATCTTTAACAGTACCAGTCTTTGGAATCAATACTTCAATATTTTGATAGTGGACATAACCTGATGTTAACCAATGAACTTTAATTTGTTTCATATTTTCTAGTTGATGCAGAGGGATATTCAAAACTTCATATTCGAAGACTGGAACAGTGATATTATAAGCAGTCTTATGAATAACATTACCGACAACCATATCTGTCTTCATTGGTAATTTATTACCACTAAAACTAGCAAATATTCTCAAATATTTAGGATCAACATTTGCATGTTTACTAATCCTTTTAGATAACTCATCATAACTTGCATGAGTTGAAATCCAGAAATCAAAAGGTTCTGTAGCTGAAGATTCTGATAAATCATTAGATTGTGGATCTTTACTATTAACTAAAACATATTCATCATCATCAGCGGCGTTTGTTAATGGTTCAGCTTTAGCATTGACCCTTGTACGTAAATATTCATAAAATAAATTAGCTGATGCATAGTATGGATAAATATCCTTTGGGTTTGATGATAACAAATCTGCTTCAGTGATATTAATAACTGATTTTTGAACTGTAATTATATCACCATTTGATAATTCTGATTTATGGAATGTTTGAGCTGTTTGTAATACATCAATTGAAGTTGGTTGAATTTCTTCAAACAAATCAAGTTTAGTATTTGGATCCCATCCTAAAAGTTTATTAATTTTAGGAGTAACTGATTCTATAGTATCATCAGATTCTGTATAAAAATGAGTTAAACCTTTTAATGTTTGATTTTCTGAATCAAAATATTTAACAAACATTAAAATTTTTTCTGAATATTCATTTTCAGGTTCTTCACCAATAGGTTGTTCTTCACCAATTAAATAGTTTAGTTCTTTGGTTGGGTCTTCAATCCAAAGATTTGCAGTTGAATGTTTCTTAGATAAAAATTTGTCATAAATTTCACCAACAGTTAAATCATCAAATTGTAATTTAACAGATGGTCTTAAAGTATGATTACGACGATAATTCATAATCCAGAAATTAACACGTTCAGAATCAATACCAAATAACTCATTCAATTCAGAGAAAATTTCAGTGAATTTTTTAGTCTTCAAAATTTTCAAAGTTGTAGGTTTATCTTCATCTGTATAAGGACCTGGAATAATTGATTTTTCACCATCACCAAGATCAAATCCTTGATAATGTTTAAATAATGAATCAGAGTAAAAATTGATATTCAAATACAGATAACTTTCTTCTAATTCTTTACGTTCTCTTTCACGCTCTTCAATTTCTTTTTGAACTTCATCAACAATATAACTTGGAACATCTTTTTCAGTGACATCTTGTAAGACTGAATCTAATTCGGATCTCTTGATATAAACCAACATATAAGCACTTGTATGACGACGTAATTGATAATTTTGATATTGAAGTCTTGTCATCTTAACCAATTGAGTATTATCCAAAGCATCAAGACCAAAATTTTCATCAAATACTTGTCTTTTTGTAACTTTCCAAACTTTATCATCATCAAATCTATACCAATTATTGGTCTTGTCAGGTTTAATCATTGCATAATAATGACCTGTTGATATATCACCTGCATGAACCAAAACACCATGTAGATCATAAATTAATGGATCAGGATTTGAACCTTCAGAATGTTCCAAGAATGGGCTTAAATCAATTGAATCTGGAAATTCATGACGATCATTAATCTTGACTAATTGGTCATAATTAAAGTCATATTCAAATCTTTTCAATTGTAAATGTAAAACATTTGGGAAACTTTCAAAAATAACACCTTTTTTAGCATCTTGTAAACCAAAATCTTGAGCGGCATATTGATTTTCACCACTCATTAATTCAACTTCAATATAATTTTGGAAAGATTGAGTTAAATTTGCTAAATTCTTAACATTTAATTGAATATCCCAAAATTCTTCACTTCTTGCAGATTCATAATCAACATTAATACATTTGATATAACTCTTCATTTTCCCCACAAATGTATTATTTAAAGAATCTTCGGCACTTGTACCTTTCATTCTTGCTTCTAACCTATCCATTAAGATTCTATTCATTTCTTGAACATCATGTTGAGTGAAAGCATCACCTGTATCCCAACCAAAGGATTTTGTCAATTCTAAAGTATCAATAGGATCATCAGATTGTTGTAATTGATAAAAAATTCTTTGTAAAGCCAATGCAACACTATCATTTGGTGATTCACCTTCTGTAGGGATTTTATATACAGCTTTTCTAAAACTCTTAGTAAAGAAATAAGATTGTAAAAGGGAATTTAGATAACATGTAGCACCTTGATTCTTGAAACCAACAAATCCAGTTTCCTTTTTAGAATCATAATCAATAAAATTATGCCATAAAACACCAGTTGGATCTTTTAATATTTTGATGAAAGCAGTTATATTTAATTTATCATCTGAAATCAAAGCGCTATTATCCTTTCTTGGTTGATATAAAGCTTTTAAATCAACAAAATTTGAAAACCCCCAATCTGTAGCATCTTTATTAAATCTTTGATGAGAAGTGTTCAAAACATAATTCTTTGAATTATTTGGATTTGAAATTACTAAAGTAAATTGAGCACAAACATACCAGTTAGGATCTAATGGTTCTTCTTCACCAGTTTCTTCATTGGTTTTCTTTGGTTGTAAAGGTTCTAGATACAGAGCTAAATGTTGATTTGAATTACCTTTTGGAAATAACAAGATATTCCAATCTATACCGCCCACATTGAAAGTAGGACCATGAACTTTTGATTCATTTAATGCCTTATAATCTTTTATTTCCCATGTATGATATCCCTTTTCTGCAATTTCTTCATCTTCAATTGATGGTAAAACTTGATCAGATAAATGTGAAAATTCTTCAGGTAAAAAAGGATCAATAATTGAATTTGGTGAGGCGGTTGTTGAAACTGTTGATTTTCTCTTCTTCAGTTCAACAGAAGAGTCTGTTGATGATGATAAAGGGGTGTTTGAATCACTCATGATTTCATCAACTTCTTCATTTTGATCTTTTGAGATCTTTAAAGACATGATATCTAAGATGTTTTGTATGGGCAATTATTTTTCCTATCTCTTTAAACTTATAAAACAAGAGTAACTATTCCTTCCGTCTTTTATGACCAGCTTCTTCTTTGAGAGTTATGAAGTATCGATATAGTTCTATTATTTGGATTTATATCAATATCCGATGGCGTTTGACTTAAAATAATGACACCAAACTAAAATTGTGGGTTTAGGACTTTTATGGAGCACAAAATCCTTCTCAAAACAAATTGAAAGTGCGTTGTTTCGAAAAACCAATTGATATCAATAAGTAGATATAATCACAAAATCAGATCAATTGATAACCACGATAACTCAATGATAATTCGAATCTGTCTGAAATCTGAATTGGAAACTTGTTTTAGTATTGTAGAATTGATCAGAAAGGGGATTTTTTTGGTTCTACACAAGATACCGGGTTACGTCACGGCTTAGTCACACAAACAATAAAAACACCAATTCGCGAAGAAAGCAATCGCAATCGAAAATTTCCAAATTAACAAAAAAAAAATTAATTCAAAGATTATAAAGTGCATTGACGAGGGTTCGAATGGGTGTATACCCCACGGATCCCACGACTTTGTAAGTGAATAATTTTGAATACATAGATTCACCCAGGTGAATAAATATAAGATAGAATTGTTGAATATGTCAAAATAAGTACTCATATGTAACGGTTTTTGTAATAATGGTGTCATTGAAAATTGTGTCATAAATTTTGGTTAATTCATAGCTGATCGTCTCAACGTACTCAGATTATAGTTACTTCCGCTTCAACGTAGATTGATATATTTGATCTTGACTATCGTTATTTATTATGTTAATTAATACCTCTATATAGTTAATTAACAGATACTTAAAGTGTCAATTACATGCTCAAATTGAATCCCATTTAAATTTTCTGTTCATATATTAAAAGTACGTCGCTATTGTTCTATTGCATGTTCCTCAACAGATTTTAATTATAGTCAGCCCATTTCTCATACAATTTTCAACGCTTCGGAAAAACTCGCAAGATATTAGATCCATATAGTGCTACACTGCACAGTACAAATTGAGTTACTAGAAGTTAAATCTTCTAAGGAAAAACGTTGAACTGAAAGCTAAGACCATTTCTCAATATATTAGGAGTCCTATAATGAGAAAGAATACTTTTTTCTCCAGTGTATGAATGTAATCAATTCCATATAGCTAGCTTGTAAAGTCTGAAACATTGGAGCCGCGAATATACTAGAACATGGAATCTGGAGACGTCTCTGAGACACCGCCAGACCAAATACAAACAGATCAGTAGAACAGTAAGTAGAACATGAAGAAATTTCATGTAATACAGCGAGATAAGAGTAGAACGTGGATCAATTGTATCAATTGGACTTCAACATTATATCCTAGTTCTAGTTTAAAGGTAACTTCTTTTAGATCTTCATCTTAACTCCCTTTTCCCAGCCTCATGTATGCGTCGAAATTGGCTGACAAAATTGAGATCGTACAACTGCAACTAGTGAATTACCACGTTGAAACATCCACCATAGTCACTACAATCACCAACATCAACTGGGAGATCAATTGAACTTTGTGACATAACCGCAATCGTCCTTTGAAAGTCTGTCTGGACTCTGTACTGTCTGTAGTCCCTGTGTCTCCTCGTGATGTCTGTCTAGACACCTTGTTTTCACATAGCAATTGTTTTACCCCCGAGAAAGAGCACCTACGCAATATCATTAATACCCACCAACCAACCATACCGGATAAACCCAGAACAACCTGAGCCATACTAAACTCAACCTCCAACACCATTTATTAACCAGCTCATAAAACCGTTATTAATCAGTAGCCCATTTCTGTTTTTCCACGGTGTATTCATTTATTCATTATTCCCTTAAGATTATGCGCTTATGCCGGATGCAAGAGTCAAAAAGAAATAACAACGCGAAAACGCACCATTTGATGTCAAATTTGTATACGAACCAACTGATCTCAAGGATTCACAACTCTCAGCTTTGGTTAGTGCAGTCGGTCTCATCTGATTCACAATAAAGTGGGATGTGCCTTCTGCAACTTAATTATTGTCTAGTATATGTGCTGATGTGTTTATTCAAGGGGTATAAAATAGATTCAATTCCCCCTTCTATACCAAATTGTTATCATCATTTCTTAATTCATCATCAAGTTTATTAAAACAAACTTTTACAAACTTACAAACAAACAATTTACAATTAACAATGTCTGATATTACTTTGGGTCGTTATCTTTTTGAAAGATTAAACCAAGTTAAAGTTCAAACTATCTTTGGTTTACCAGGTGATTTCAATTTATCTTTATTAGATAAAATTTATGAAGTTGATGGTTTAAGATGGGCTGGTAACGCCAATGAATTAAACGCTGCTTACGCTGCTGATGGTTATTCAAGAGTTAAAGGTTTATCTGCTATCATTACCACTTTTGGTGTTGGTGAATTATCTGCCTTGAACGGTATTGCAGGTTCTTATGCTGAACATGTTGGTGTTTTACACATTGTCGGTGTTCCATCAATCTCATCTCAAGCTAAACAATTATTATTGCATCATACTTTAGGTAACGGTGATTTCACTGTTTTCCACAGAATGTCTCAAAACATTTCTCAAACCACTGCATTCATTAAAGATATTAACTCTGCTCCAGCTGAAATTGATCGTTGTATTAGAGAAGCTTACATTTTTCAAAGACCAGTTTACTTAGCTTTACCAGCTAACTTGGTTGATGATTTAGTTTCAACTGATTTATTGAAAACTCCAATTGATTTATCATTAAAAGCAAATGATGAAGAAGCTGAAAATGAAGTTGTTCAAACCGTTTTAGAATTAGTTGCAAAAGCTGAAAACCCAGTTATCTTAGTTGATGCTTGTGCTTCTCGTCATTCAGTTAAAGAAGAAACTAAAGCTTTAATTGATGCTACTCAATTCCCAACTTTTGTTACTCCAATGGGTAAAGGTGCTGTTGATGAACAACATCCAAGATTCGGTGGTGTTTATGTTGGTACTTTATCAAAACCAGATGTTAAAGCTCAAGTTGAAAATGCTGATTTAGTTTTATCTGTTGGTGCCTTATTATCAGATTTCAACACTGGTTCTTTCTCATACTCTTACAAAACTAAAAACATTGTTGAATTCCATTCAGATCACATCAAAATTAGAAATGCTACTTTCCCAGGTGTTCAATTCCACTCTGTTTTAAAGAAATTAAATGAACAAATTGGTCCAATTGTTAAAGATTACAAACCATACCCAGTTCCAAAAGTTAGCTTAACAACTGCTCCAACTGCTCCAGAAACTCCATTAACTCAAGAATGGTTATGGACTAGAATCTCATCATGGTTAAGAGAAGGTGATGTTGTTATCACTGAAACTGGTACTTCAGCTTTCGGTATTGTTCAATCAAGATTCCCAACTAACACAACTGGTATTTCTCAAGTCTTATGGGGTTCTATTGGTTACTCTGTTGGTGCTGCTTTAGGTGCTGTTGCCGCTGCTGAAGAAGTTGACAGAGAAAAGAGAGTCTTATTATTCGTTGGTGATGGTTCATTACAATTAACTGTTCAAGAAATCTCAACCATGATCAGATGGGGTTTAACACCATACATTTTCGTCTTAAACAATGCTGGTTATACCATTGAAAGATTAATTCACGGTGAAAAAGCTTCTTATAACGATGTTCAACCATGGGATCATTTATCATTATTGAAAACTTTCGGTGCTAAAGATTATGAATCTATCAGAGTTTCAACCACTGGTGAATTTGATAAATTAGCTAATGATGAAGCTTTCTCAAAGAACTCTAAGATCAGATTAGTTGAAATCATGTTACCAGTTATGGATGCTCCATTAAACTTGGTTAAACAAGCTCAAATTACTGCTGCTACTAACGCTTCAAAATAGATTATTTATTGAAACGGATGAAGTAATGAAGAATGATAAAGAAAAAAATATAATATTTGGTTTTTATATGGGTTTTTATTAATTAATAGTGTTTATAGAAAATTCATGATTATAAATGAGTTAAATTGAAAACTGTAGTACTATATTAGACAATATCATTTTCCATACAACACAAAAGTTAATGAAAAGGATACAGTAAATTTACTTCAGCTGCAAATTTCAAGTATAAAATTGATCACCGTTAAGTATCAAACTTTAAATTAATTAATTGTATGAAATGTTTTTGAGATGGCCATCAGTTGATTGTACGTTATCTATAAGAGGAGAAACTTTTTCAAATGACACACATGTAATTTAACGTTGTACAAGTGCCTATAAGGTTTAAACTGATACAATTGCTCCTATAATAGTACCAATGGCCTCACTAATTGAGTTAATATAACCATGCCTAGGCTCTTAATTTAGTTCTGAGTTTAATATGAAAATTTCTAAGGAATTAACTCGAGCTTGTTAACTGTACATATATAACGTTGACTATTTTCATTGAGATGCAGAAGAAAACTCAAGTGTCAAAATTCACCACGAGTCTGGTTCAGACCTGAGTGTTTTTTTTAAATGAATATTTCACTCAATTCAATTGTCCTTTCGTAATCGACGTATCTCTTCTCCGTTAAGCTTTCAAATCTATATATGTAATTACTATATGTAAAGTAATTTGTGTCAAATCCGAAGTCCGAATTAATTCCGAAGCTGTCCGAAATTTGTATACAGATATAAAAGGGAATAAATTTATCAATTTGGGCTCTAAAGTCTAAATTAATAAAGTCAATTAAAATTTGAAAGTTGAATTTTAGTCCCATTTAAGTTTTAAGGCCAAATTCGACAAAAAAAAAATCACCTTTTTAATCTTTGCAATTTTGAAACTTTAAATAAAAATTATGAGGTTATATTAGTTTTTTTTTAAATTTTAAATATTTCAAATTAATTATTATATTATATATTATTATAATATATCCATATCTAATTATATATAATTATATATAATATACACACTATCATGCTATAATTAAGAGCGTGAATATCTTTCCAAAATATTATAATTATATTATATATTAAATTATATTATATTCGTACAGCCGGCGCTGACAATATAATTTGGATGTAGTATTATGAATATTGATTATTAAACGAAAATTTAATGTTTATAGAAGTATTATATGATATAGTATATTATGATTCATGATTTAAGGCTAATATATTACAGATAATATGGTATACTTTATCTAATTATAAAAAGTTGTATATAACTAAACAAGACTTCGTCCGATATGAACGTTAAAACGATATAATGAAAAAAGAAGTTATTTAGGGGGAAATCCAATCTTTTCCTCAAATTCTTCTTTTGTTAAATCTTTTGTCCATCTCAGTTTATATGCTGGGTGATCCTCATCTAAAAATAACTTACCCTTTTGTTCATTGATATTTTCTCTTAATGTATCAGCGGCATAATCTTTATGGAATATACCTCTTCTTTGCAATTCAGGAATTAATAAATCAACAATATCTTCAATTCCCGATGGAAAAACAGCATAACTCAAGTTGAAACCATCAAGATCATAATCTCTAACCCATTTTTCCAACTCATCCGCAACTTCAGATGGTGTTCCGATCAAATTTCCTAACTTTGCAGTGTAAGCTTTTAGGACTTCTCTTTTAGTAGGCTTATTCTTTTTGGCCTTCTTGAAAATATTATCGGTAATTGTTTGAATTGCATTGGTACCTTTATAATCAATTTCATCATCAAGATCATATTTACTCAAGTCAATACCGGAAATACCTCCAAACCCAACTTCACCTGCTTCTGGGGTAGCAAATTCTTTAATCTTTTGTGCTTTTGCAATAGCTTCTTCATGTGTCTTTGCCAAAACTGGAGTAGCTCCAGCTAAGAACTTTATTGAAGATGGATCTCTTCCATATGATTCAGCCAATGATCTAATCTCTTTGATATCCTGTGCCAAAGTCTCACGACTACGACCTTCAACAAAAACAACTTCAGCGTTCTTTGCAGCAAGCTCCTTACCTTTTCTTGATGTTCCAGCTTGAATAATTACAGGAAAACTTTGAGGAGTTGGTTCTGTAATACCTGGACCTTCAACGCTGAAATATTTCCCCTTATGATTTATCTTTCTGATAAGATTTGGGTCAGCAAAAATACCATTTTCTTTATCATATTTAACAGCATCTTCTCTCCATGATGATAAAAGCAACTTCAAAACCACATCAACATACTCTTCAGATTTTACGTATCTCTCATCGTGCTCTGGAAATGGTTCCCCATTCAACAGATTTGGTCCAATACTTTCCAAATAACTTGACACAATATTCCAACCAACTCTACCATTTGATAGCAAATCTAATGAGGCAAGTCTTCTTGCGAAATGATATGGGTGTTCACTAACAGTACTGAAAGTAATACCAAATCCCAAACCTTTAGTAACACTTGATAACGCAGTAACAACAGCAGCTGGATCAACTCTTGGAGCGAATACACCAGTTCTTGCAGGTTCTCTAAAGTTCCCAGGACCTTTATAACTATCGAAAAAGGTCAAATGATCAGCAACAAATAAGGAATGTATCTTACCTCTCTCTGCAATTTTGGCCAGCTTAATCCATGGATCAAGACTATGTGTGAAATGTTTAGATTCATCTTCTTCATTTCTCCATAATCCTGGGGAACCACCTGTGATAATGTTTATAACTAAAGATTTTTGAGCTGAAGGCATTTTGCTATAACAGTTGTTACCACAAACAAACTGTTACCATAAAAATTATATTTTGATGAGTTGAAAGCATCTTTCTAGAGAACTCTTGGACTTTTATATAAAAGTAGCTTCTATTGGGAATATTTGCAACTTTACACAGTTTTTACAAAATCCGAAATTATTATAATTGTATAGACTCTCGGACAAAAACAGTAATACAAACGATAAGGTATAAGGGACAAAAAATACAACCTATTATTAACTATCATTGTACACACTTTGAGAAATTTCACTGAAATCCAAATAACTCATTCATTTGATTTGGCTTTCGAACTGTTCTTTTGATAGATCCGAAGTCCATCTGGATTTATGTGCTGGATGATCTTCTCTTAGATGTACAGAACCTTTACCTTCATTCAAACTTTCCCTAAAAGTTGAGCCTGAATATTCAGTATGAAATAAACCTCTTTTTTGTAACTCTGGGACTAATAAATCTACTATATCCTCAATTCCACCTGGGAACTCTGAAATACTAAAATTGAATCCATCTATATCAAAATCTTCAACCCATTTTTCTAATTCATCAGCAACTTCTTGTGGACTACCTACTAGATTACCATTTTTCTTAGTATAATGCTTTAGTACTTCAGCCTTGGTAGGATTGTTTTTCTTAGCTTTTTTAATAATATTGGAAGTAATTGTTTGAAGACCATTTGAACCGGTATAAATCACTTCTTCATCATCTTTAAATTTACTCAAATCAATACCTGATATACCACTGAATCCAATCTCTCCAGAATTTGGAACTGAAAATGCTTTCCTAGATTCAACCTTTTGGACAGCTTCTTCATGTGTGGCAGCTATAATTGGGGTAGCACTCGCAACAAATTTGATTGAATAAGGATCTCTTCCATAAGTCTTAGCCAATGATCTGATTTCTTTGATATCATTAGCAAGTACGTCATTATTTCTAGCATCAACAAATACCACCTCAGCAAGTCTTGCAGCCAATTGTTTACCTTTATTTGAAGTTCCGGCTTGGAATATCACAGGAAAACCTTGTGGTGTTGGTTCTGTAATACCAGGTCCTTCAACACTAAAATATTTACCTTTATGATTAATCTTCCTGATAAGATCCGGGTCTGCAAATATTCCATTTTCTTTATCATATTTAACTGCATCTTCTCTCCAAGAAGAAAGCAAAAGTTTTAAAACAACTTCAACGTATTCATCTGTCTTGATGTATCTTTCATCATGTTCAGGAAACGGCTCACCATTTAATAAATTAGGTCCAATACTTTCCAAATAACTAGAAACAATATTCCAACCAACTCTTCCATTAGTCAACAAGTCTAACGAAGCCAAACGTCTTGCAAAATGATAAGGATGTTCACTCACTGTACTGAAAGTTATCCCAAAACCAATATTTTCAGTAACACTTGACATTGCCGTAATGGTAGCAGCAGGATCAATTCTTGGAGCATGAACACCAGCTCTAGCAGGATCTTTAAAATTTCCAGGACCTTTCCATGAATCGAAAAATGTTAAATGGTCTGCAATGAAAACACTATGAATTTTACCTCTTTCTGCTAATTTAGCAAATTTAACCCATGAATCAATACTATTTGTAAAATTTCTTGATTCATCAGCGGGATTTCTCCAGACTAAAGTATGACCACCAGTTAAAATATTCAAGATAAGTTCTTTCTTTGTCATTTCCAAATTGTTTTCCCAATACTATATTACATTACTCAAATATTCAAATGGTATTTAAACTTTGAAAGTTTTGTGATCATTTATACCTCATTTCCTTTAATCTCTCCATTATGGAATAAGTTACAAACATGGTATAGCAAACGGGCCATACGTAGTCACCTGTGATGATGGCTAATTGTGACGTATATCACGGACTCACAGTTGTAAAGATTCCCAAAGAATTGATCAAATATGAGAGCCACATTAAAATTTATATAGGGACTGCCATGACATAAGGGTCATTTAACAGGCGCTAGATATTATAGAACAACTACAAATGAGTTTGAATACCTGAGTAAACATATAATTAAGCTAGACCCAATTTATTTTCAAACTCTTCTTTTGTTAGATCAGATGTCCATCTTAATTTATATGCTGGATGATCTTCATCAACAAAAATTTGACCTTTAATACCTTTAACATTTTCTCTTAAAGTTTTAGAAGTATATTCATTATGAAACAGACCTCTATTTTGTAATTCTGGTATTAAAAGATTAGTTATATCTTCAACACCTGCTGGGAATTCAGCAAATCCAAAATTAAACCCATCAATATCATATTCTGAGACCCATTTTTCAATCTCATCAGAAATTTCTGAAGGTGTTCCTATTAAACTACCAATTCTTGATGAATAATTATTAATAACTTCACGTCTTGTTGGATTATTTGTTTTTTTCCTTTTGAAAATATTATCAGTTATTGTTTGTAAATTATTTGATTTACCATTTTCACCAAATTGAATTTCTTCATCTAATTCATATTTATTTAAATCAATACCAGAAATTCCACTAAATGCAACTTCAGTACTTTCTGGAATACTATAATTTTTAATTTTATTTGCTTTTGTTATAGCTTCTTCATGAGTTTCACCAATTATTGGAGTTGAACTAACAACAAATTTGATTGAATTTCTATTTCTTCCATAAGTTTCAGTTAAATCACGAATTTCTTTAATATCTTTAGCTAATACTTCAATATTTCTACCATCAACAAAGACCAATTCAGCATTTTTAGCAGCTAATTCTTTACCTTTCCTAGAAGTTCCTGCTTGGATTATAAATGGGAATCTTTGTGGTGTTGGTTCTGTAATACCAGGTCCTTCAACACTAAAATATTTCCCCTTATGATTAATCTTTCTTAAAAGTTTAGGGTCAGCAAAAATACCAGATTCTTTATCATATTTAACAGCATCATCTCTCCAAGATGATAATAATAATTTATAAACCACATCCAAATATTCCTCGGTCTTGATATATCTTTCATCATGTTCAGGGAAAGGTTCACCATTTAATAAATTTGGACCTAAACTATTTAAATAACTTGATACAATATTCCAACCAACTCTACCATTTGTTAACAAATCCAAAGAAGCTAATCTTCTTGCAAAATGATAAGGATGTTCACTAACAGTACTGAAAGTAATTCCAAATCCTAAATGTTCAGTAACACTTGCCAATGCGGTAACAACAGCAGCAGGATCAATACGTGGAGCGAATACACCAGTTTTAGCAGAAGTTTTATAATCACCTTTATAAGTATCAAACCATGATAGATGATCTGCAAGGAATAAAGAATGTATCTTACCTCTTTCTGCTATTTTAGCTAGTTCAATCCAAGCATCAATGTTATTAGTTAATTCTCTTGAACGATCATTAGGATCTCTCCAGATTTGTGGTGAACCATTTGTTATGATGTTGATAATTAGTGATTTTGATGTAGCCGCTGTCATTTGATCAAAGGTTTCAGTTTTGAAAGTTATACCATTGTAATGGATTGAAGCTTGTAATTGAGAGCTAAGAATATCATATACATATATATAAATTAATCTTATAGTACATCAGTGGCGCTTTGTGAAATTGTGTAAGATATCAAATTGAGTAAAGTAAACGAATTCAATTCAATCGCGTCAAATTCTACAAAATGCATTTTTAAAGGATATATATGATTATATTGAAAGGTTTTCTGAATATCTAATCCTTTATTGGATAACATCCAGTATCAACCTGATCTAATCATATTGAATAATCTTAATCTATATAATGAATTGAATATGCATTTAATTTTTAATATGTTGCAGTAGACCAATTAAAATATGACATTTATTTAGATTTTAATCTCAGAAACAATTATTATTGATCTTGGGTTGCAAAGAAAAGCTAAACTGGTGTGATATATCTTTGCCAATAAAAAATATTTCAAATCCTAGTTTTCTGAATGCATGAATTTCAAAATAAAACAAAATATTAAAAAGTTATTAATTGTAAAGGAAAAATGTTGAAGAAAAATTTGTTGCTTTATATACTTTTAAAAATTAGCCGCCCAATTATTTTTAGTATTTCACAAGTAGAAATACTATTGATCTGTAAATACCTACAATTAAACACATAAACATTCACATTCATTGACAAAAAAACCAGAAGAAATGACTTAAATTGACCTTCCTGAACATATTAAACCATCACCTCTTTATTAATGTTTAAATTCATGTTCTTTAACATTTAAACCTTCTTGAACACCAGGAATTTCTCTAATTTTTTCCAACCAAGCTTTAATTGAAGGCCATTTATTAATATCAATATCAATATAATTATAAATATTAATCCATGAAAATGCAGCAATATCAGCAATATTTAAATGATCACCAACTAACCAACCATTATTTTCTTTTAATCTAATTTCATAAACTCCAAAAACACGTTCAGTTTCATCCAAGTATCTTTTTTTACCATATGGAATATCTTCTGGTGCATATTTAATAAAATGATGAGCTTGTCCATGATATGGAGCATGTGAAGCAATTTGGAAAGTTAACCATTGGATTTGATCCCAATATAATGGATCATCAATTCCATAATAATATTTACGTTCAGTATCATATTTTTCACCTAAATATAATAAAATTGCACCAGTTTCAGAAATTTTAGTTTGATTACCATTGGAATCAACATCACTTAAAGTTGGAATACGACCATTTGGATTGAGAGCAATAAACCAAGGTTCTTTTTGAACGTTGGTTCTAATATCTAATCTTGTTAAATGATAATTTAATTTTAATAATTCTAAATAAATTGTAGCTTTTTGACCATTTGGAGTTTCTAATGAATAAAGTTTTAAATATGGTGCTTTTAAATCTTTTGGATGATTTGGATCATCTAAATCTAAATTTTTTGTTGTGAAAGTATTTGACATGTTGATACTTGATGAATTGAATGTTCTAATCGATTTAATTGTTGAAATTCTTGATGGAATTGATGGAATTGATTGTATTAGTGTGGGTAGTTTATAGTTAAATAAAGGGGTTGATGAATTTATTTTGTTAAAATTGCTTATTAATATTGGTAATCGTGGTATATATATATTATAAACTAAATGTCCGAAATATATTATATTAGTAATCTAAATATGAAATTTGGTATATATATATTGGTAATCGTCCAGAATTTGAAAATGAATTAAAATACTGTGGCATTTGATGGGTGTTATTGAAGGGAAAATAGTATCTTTATAGGTAATGGTTATAACAGAGAAGCTTTCGTAGTTTTATTATTTGTGTAGGGTTATGAATAATTTATGGATCACAATAATATCATTTTAGATTATATCAATTGAATTATCATTAGTAATTTGACCCTTGAAAGTTGACACAATTAATGTTGTTTTTCATTTAGGCAGAATAAGAACATTTTTGACAGGAGCACCGAAAAAGAGCAGTTGTCCTTAGCTGGTCTAGGCAGATCAGGCAGAGTCCTAGACAGACAAAGTCCTAGGCAGTAGGCAGTAGGCAGTAGGCAGATCATTGCACCAATACAGACTACAGTTAGGCAGAACTGATAAAAGCCACTCCGCCTAATTACAAATTCCGTACCTGATTTTGAAAGAGAAGATCTTCAATTTAAGGAACAGGAACAACTCACAGGACATTGACGAGCATGGGGGCTGGGAAGTTGGAACCATACTCTTATGATCGTTGATAATTAAAGAAGAATTCAACTAGTATAGAGTATAGAGAACAAAGTAGGATTCTATCCATAGTAATCTTCTTGTAGCACATGGATCTCAAATAAGTCCAAAGCTGGAAACCACAATCCCTGCACAGAATATTAATTAAAGTTGGAGCTAACAAAGGTTTAAATAAGATTGCAGAGATACACCGGGCTCAGATGATAGATAATAGAACGATCAACGCCTCTAAATTCTAACGTAATTAATTACTACAGATCAGTGGTTAGCCGACATACCATACCAGTGTACCACAGACTTTTTCCAGCATATCCACTAGAACTTTTAGTTGTCTGAAGACTGATCTGTCCATGTTTAATATAGTAAAAGTTTAATTCTTTCTTTTGAAAAGTCAGCAAATTACCACGTACAAACTATAATACTCAGTCAACTCAACACGAACACTTGAAAACAGACTGACAACAGACAGACAGCACAAGCATCTGATTCATTATTGACTTGTATTGTACTATTGAATCAACAATCTTGTGAATCAGCTCGCTTACAAAGAATATTCCAACGCATAAATTTCAGACGTGTGAAAATAAGAAAATAAAGTGCATCGAAAACCAAAATTGATAAAAATAAATTTAAATTGAAATCAGCTGGCCTTTTTAAATATTCAAAGCTTTTCAACAAAACTTATAGACATACACATACAAAAAACCAGGCTTCAACTAACACAGCGGTTCCCTCCAAAAAGCTATCTATCATTTGCTATCCCATCCTTTTGCTACTTACTCATTCAAACTTCTTTTGATATCCCTGTTGGCAGCTCATTTCCATCCTACATCATCAAATACAATCAACAACATAACCACAGCGGCTAAAAGATGGTTTCTATTCTAAGGTTGTCATACCAGAGGATATTACATCAAATATCTGTTTTACTCCCAGTTAAACAATTAAAATCAGTATTCTTTGGTTCTATCGTGGTTATTTTATTATTTCAACTTTTTTTACTCAATAAAAGTCATGGTATAGTTAAGATTAATACTGGTGGAAACAATAATCAACCATCAAATGAAATACTGATTATTGATAAATCAACACCTGTTTCATCTCATTATAAACATTTATTAAACAAATATTCAGAAAACTTCCCAACTTTACCTTTTAATAAAAAATGTGATTTATATTTTGATGAATTATATAAACAAAATGAAGATTGGGAAGTTGTTGATGTTTCAAAAGATCATAATAAAGAATATAATAAAGAAGCTTTCAATTATGATAAATTCATAAAGGACAAAATTGATGAATATAAAAAGAAAAATGAAGGTAAAGAACCTACTGATGGTAAAAAAGCTGAATTTGAATTAGAATTTCAAAAAGTCTTGGAAACCACAAATGAAGCTGAACAAGGTATGATTGATGCTGTTACTCATTTAAGAGTCTTTGGTAAATGTTATTTAAATGATCAATCTTATTCAAATTCAATTTTTTCAAATTGGTTAAATGATAAAGATGCTCAAAAACAAGATGATGAAAAAATTGATATGTGTTATGATATTGAACAAAGATTATTCCCTTGGTTAAGTAGAGAATTACCAGTTTTCAAAAGATGGACTGGTGATACAATTATTGGTATCCCAAAAATGTCAAAATATGTTGATGAAACTTATGATGATGTTGATATTCCATGGAGTTCTAAAAATGGTGAATCTGAAGATTCAGTTGACCTAAATTCAAAAGAAACAAATAAAGATCCACAAGTTACAAAAGTTGATCGTTTTAGTTCAAGATTTGGTAAAAGATATGAAAGAAAAGATTGTTTCTTAAATAAATGGAGATCAATGTTAAATGGTAAAGGTATTGTTTTATCAGCTGCTGATAAATATGAAGGTGATTTAATTGGATTAATTAGAATTCTTAGAGCTTTAAATAATAAAATTCCTGTTCAAATTGTTCATAAAGGTGATTTAAGTGAAAAAGTTCAAAATAATTTAATTAAAGTTGCAAGATCTGATGAAGTTAAAGTTCCAAAATATCTTTTCGATAAAGTTAAAGATCATTCTCCACAAAATTTCCCTAAACAAGAAATTTGGTTTGTTAATGCTAAAAGATGTATTAGACCTGAATATAGAGGAAATTTTAATATGTATGCAAATAAATTAATTGCATATTTATTTAATTCATTTGATGATATTCTATTAATGGATACTGATTCAATTCCATTAATTAAACCAATTGAATTTTTTAAAAGTGGACCATATCAAAGAACTCAAACAATTTTTTTCAAAGATCGTTATAATATGGAAAAAGTTTCAAAACATGATTCTGAATATTTTAAAAGATTAATGCCTGGTAAAATTGATGAAAGTTTATATACAGTTCCAAGAGCAACTAATAATACTTTTGAAAATCGTTATATTAAAAATCAATTCCGTCATGTTATGGAAGCTGGTGTTGTTGGTATTAAAAGATCAACTCATTTCATTGGTATTTTAACTTCAATTCAATTAAATTTTTGGACTGCAACAAATTCAAGAATTTGGGGTGATAAAGAATTATTTTGGTTAGGTCAATCTATAAGTGGTAATGAAAATTATGAATTTAATAAGTATGATGTTGTCGCAGTTGGTGAATTAACTCCAATGGAAGAAAGACCAAGAAATACTATAGCTCATGAATTATGTTCAACTCATCCAGGTCATTTAAGTGGTGATGATGATTATACTTTAATGTGGATTAATTCAGGTATGAGATTTTGTAAAGTTGATACATGGAATGGTGATGTTCAAGATGAACGTATGAAGAAAAAGGCTAAAGATGCTAAAGAATTAGAATCATTTTATAAAAATCCTGTCAAGATTAATGCCGCTTTAATTCCTCCAGGTGGTGATCGTTCAAAACCAAATAATAATCAAGAACCTGCATTTGGTTGGATTATGACACCTCCATGTAAAGGTTATTATTGGTGTGCTTATGATATATTGGGTGGATCAACAGATCCAAGAGATCGTGGTGCTTATGTTGAATATGATAATGTTACAGAATTTAGAAATGAATATTTAGGTAAATTATGGTTAAATCAAGATCTTGTTGATTTAAGTAAATATGATAAAGAAATTTTAAAAGATCAAGAAAATTTAAAATTAAAACAAAAAGAAGAAGAAGAAAAAAAACAAAAAGAAAAACAACAAAAGGAACAAATTGAAAAAGAAGAAAAATTAAAAGCTGAAAAAATTGCAAAAGAAGAAGCAGAAGCTAAAAAACAAGCAGAAGCAGAAGCAGAAGCAGAAGCTAAAAAACAAGAAGAAGCTGCTCCACAACCACAAGTTGAACCAAATCCAAATCCAAACCCAGATTCAATTCCAATTCCTGAAGCTGCAGATAAAATATGATTCATTTTTAAAATCATTATCTAACGTCATTTTATAAGTCATTTAAACATGTATATTTTATTCTAATGATTCTTTTCAAAGAAAGATCATTCATTTATATATAATCATTATGTATAATTTTGTATAATAATTTGCAATTAAATAATTTAGTTCATAGAAACATCGTATAAATTGTAATGGTTTAACAATTCTACATAATTTCAGAGTTCATATTGATATGAAGTATGTTGTATAAATATAAAACGTAAATTGTATTATTGACTATGTAACAAATATTTTCTTAAAATTATTTTAAAATCTTCATATTAATTTGATATTGATATGATATGATAAAATGCTGATAAAATTTTTCCTTCTAAATATATTGATTTATGAATATAATAATAATTTTCTTTAAATAAACTAAATTTATCTATTGTGGTAAATCTTGAGGATCAGGGTTTGAAATCCAATGTTGACCAAAATAAGGAATTTTTTGATAAAAAGTAGTTTGGAAAATTGGAACGCCTTCAGTGAAAACAAAAATACCTAACATTGATGAAGCACCCCAAAATGTTAAATTTGGTGTATATTGTAATAAATTTTGTAAATTAAGTTTACCTAAATGTGGTAAAGTTTTATAAATTGGTTTAGCAGCGTACTTTAAAAAAAGAGAATATGTTAGTTTCAAAATGTTCTGCTTAATGATATTAGATTCTGAAAGGTTAACTTACTCTGACCATTTTGTTGTACTAAATTATTTGATCTATTGATGATTTTATTAATAAATGTTTAACTGTTAGCATAGTTTTCAATTATTTTGATTAATTTTGTTGAAATTTGAAAATGAGTTTTTGCTATTGGCTAATTAAAAGATTATGTAATGTCCCAGCGGAAACAAAAAACCACATGATCAGTCACGTGACACTAAGCTGGTAAAATTTTTCCGTGATTACCTCAGCGATGACATCAGCGGGAAAGTAAAATTTAATTTAGGTTTTAAAACTTTAATTTAATTTTACGAATTGAATTAATTCTGTTTTCGGTTTTCCGTCCGTTTTTAGATCGATTTTATTGTACCTACGTCTACAGTTAATTAATAAATTCAAATCTATAGGAGAAGGTTCAACTGCTGCGCACAATTTTCAAAATATAAACCTTTAGAGATTAAATTAATTCAAGACAAGCTGCTGTAGTTACTCTGGAATGAGGATAACTTGTGAATAGTATACGCTAGGATTGAATCGACTTATATTAATTGCAGTACTTATTAATCCGCGAAGAATCGATAATCGACTATGTTATAAGGCTTAAGCTGCTGCAATTTACGATAATATTATAAGTTTAGCTACATATATAGCAGCTATAGCCTATTAATTTATTGTTTGGTCTATACAAGCTCATATCTCATATATCGCCCGCTTTAAGATCATCTTAAACTGATTCATCGTCGACTACTCGTCACGGCCCAATGATGAGCCATATTGTGAAATAATATTTATTCGCTTTAGTCTTTGAAATATCAGTCTGTATTCAAACGCGTCATATATAATATATTACACCTTTGACCAACTCAATATATATTATATTTTCTTTCCTTTATATAAAGGCTTAGACAATGGACATATATATTCGAATGTCTTCTATAATTAATTAACATGTATCTCGACTCGATCATCATCATCAGCTAAATCTTCTGTAGCGATTTCAATCTAGGATCTAGAAATAAAGTTAGTACGTTATACATATATCTTCTTCGACATGTAATCTATCAGATTGATAGCTAGTTTATAAGAAATTGTTAATGTGTAACATGTAACGTAGCCAACTACCATACTTGACTAGTTTATAAACCATGAGATAACTATCGAATATACAATGATCTAGCATTAAAATATAACATTTACAAACGTCATGAACCTAGCTAGACAATCTATATATATGTAATTATATATATAGTAAATTGGTTAAGTTGTTTCTCAAGCTTCAAGGAAGAAAAATCTGTATGTCTTTCTTGACAGGCTGGTTTCCGCGACGTTGCTTAGCAGGGTACGTCGTATATTAATTTAATTAGTTGAGGTGTTCACTGTTGACTCTTGATCGAGGTATAACGGTCATTTTAATAAATATATATATGCTCTTATAATTTCAGCTAGTACTTTTTCTGAGACTATTCTTTAATGTTTTGTCCCAGTCTCTCTTCTCCCAGGTGCTCAACTTTTGGACAAAATTAAATCAGCAGACTCCAGACTCCAGAGACTCCAGCGGAGACTCATGCAAGTTTTGCACATGAAATGTCTCAGGTCCGCAATTTCAAGCTTCTTAAACTTCTAAACCCTTCTTAGACCGCTGTACGTTTGCAGCCTCGTTTCTTTTTTCGGTCTCGGGTCCAGAAGACGTACCAAACTTCTAAATTCAAGACCTGCACATAGACTTGCTTTTCAATCAAAAGACAATTTACTAAATTTGAATGCAGTTTTTAATCAGTTGAAATAAATTTGAATTTGCAAGATTCAAACATTTTGTTTCAGTCAATCTTAAACTTGTTTCCATTTGTTTCAAACTTCAAACATTCTTTGCTTTCAATCTCAACCGTCTAATCGTGAACTGCCGCTGTGATAGACTTGTGATATACTTGTTCCTGAAGCTCTCTCCTTTCATATTATAAAGCTGCAAATCAATTATCAAATTGGCTGTGGTTTATTATTATTAGTGAAATTTATTCGGTACCTGAGAAGAAATCATAATAAAATATATCAGCAGTTGTTGGAATTTCGTTAATATTCGTTAGAAAATATTTTAATAATTATCAAATAATCAAATTGAAGGTTACGCAGTTATTCCAGATTAGCCACCATACAGTTTTAAGTTATACGTCGGTTTCGTTGTTGCGTTTTTGCTATTAAAATTGAATTCATAGATCATATTTAAATGATCACACTTATACAATATATTCAATAATTAAATAAATATCATCATGTCTAAAAGATTGCTGAGTACAATAACCAACAAGCCAATTGTCTACATAAATAGCTGGTTACAATCAACAAATTTTTCATTCAAAAGTGTTCCAAATCCTAATAATATCAACTATCAAAAACAACAAAATGTTTATTTCAAATCTAAACTTTTGCTTTTAATTGGATTAGTTTTCCTAGGCTCAAATTTATTATTATCAAGTTTGATTTTCAATATATCAAATTATAATGAATTTGTGGAAATTACTAAAAATTTGGATTTATATTTAAATTTAAATAAGAAATTCTTCCAAAGTAAAGAATTCTTAAGTCATTTTAAAATACCTTCAACTCATTCATATTCATTCATAAATGAAAACGTTGCTCATCATGAGTTTAATCAAAACTATTCCATTTCTGCATATTTATCACATATCAATAATGTTTATGAACATGAACAAAACCCAGAAGATTATTTAAAAACACACAAGATTGATTTCCATTGGGGTGATTGGGTTGATTTAGCTCCTGCAACTCCATTTGTCAAAACTTATAAAGATATTTTACACAAGATGGGTAATAATGAGTCAGAAGTTTATCAATTTGTTCGTAAAATGTGTTATGATAAATTATATGATGCAAAAGATCCTTGGTTAGATCAAGAAACTTATGAACAAAAATTATTTGTTAGTGAACATTTACAAGATATTGGTATTTGTTCAGCTATTTATAAATATTATTATGCAACTATTCCAGAAAGAGTTGTTTTAGAAACTGATTTCAAATATTTTGAAATGCCAGTTAATCAAGTTAGAAGAAAAGATCCATTTGGTCTTGATGGATTATCAAGAATTTATTATAATACAAAAAATGAAGTTTCTTCAAAACAAGTTGAAAATTTCAATCCAAATGATCGTGATATTTTAGTTGATCAATTACAACAAACTTATTATGGTAAAGGTTTTAAACCTGAAGATTTGAATCTAAAACCAACTTTAACTCAACCCCAAGAAGATTTTAAAAAACCAGATGTTCCTGCTTTATTGAAAACTTATCAAGATATATCAAATCCAAGTCGTGAAGAAGAAAAATATACAAATTTCTTAAAATATTCAGTTGAAAATGTTGGTAAAGCTGATAAATTTTATTTTATTTTCCCATTCATTCAAATTGATTCTAAAGCTGAATTACATCATTATAATTTCCCATGGATTAAACATATCATTTCTCATGAAGAACGTATTCAAGTTATTCATCATTTAATTAGATCATGGTTTAAATATGCTGAACATGCTCATATTGTTTCATGGTTCAACTATGGTAATTTAATTGGTTGGTATTTTAATGCCCAAAATTTACCATGGGATAATGATGTCGATGTTCAAGTTTCAATTCAAGATCAAGATAAGATTGGTCGTTTCCATAATAATACTTTAGTTATTGAAAATCCAAAATTAGGTGATCATTTATTTTGGATTCAAACAAATCCTTATTATATGCAACAAAAAGATAATCAATTTATTGATGCAAGATATATTGATGTTAAAACTGGTATTTATATTGATATTTCAGCTCTTTGGGAATCTGAAAGAGCAAAACCAAAAGATATCAAACCAAAAGAAGGTGAAATTGCATTCCATTGTAAACATTATAATTGGTTTGTATTTAGTGATATTTTCCCATTAAGAAGAACAATTTATGAAGGTGCTCAAGCTTATATGCCAAATAATATTGAAGGGATATTGAAAAGATTTTATGGTAATAAGGCAATTAATAATTGGAATATTTTTGATCATAATTGGCAACCTGATATTGGATTATGGGTTCCAAATCAAATCTGTGAAATGGATTTAGTTCCAAAGACAGAAGATAGATTTGATTCAAATGGTGAATTAACATTATTTGGTGCTTGTAATAATACTGATTTATTAGAAGAATGGAGAAATGCTAAACCAACTTATGAAATTCATAAAAAAGAACATGAAGCCATTAAGAAAGGTGAAGATAGTTCCAAATTTAGTGAAAAGGATTTGGATGTTTTCAGAGTTTTCAAACATGAAGATTATAGATAGATTTTTTCGTTTTTAATACCATCAATTATACTTTGATATCAACTTGATTAATTGTTATTATATATAGGAAGTTGATACCAGTTTAATCATTAATTTTAATATGTACATTACATTTTTTTTTTTCGTTTTCAAATATTATTGACATCATTAATTTGTAGTATTTAAAATTCTTCTTTTCTTCATCAATTCGTTATTAATTAATATATTGCACTAACAACTTCGAGTGCATAGGTAAATGTACCTTTTAAGTACAAACGATATCAAGTACCGTTGTATCAAACAAGAAATCAAATCCAATAGAATGATTAATCTTTGATAAATCTTCATTCCAAACAATATTAAAATATTTTAAAATTTTCAAAGCTAAACTTGAATTAATCTTTTTAGCCATTCTTAAAAAGCATTTCGTTAAGAAATCACGTTGTTCTAAAGTTAATGTAGAACTACCACAAACGAATAAACACCATATTGAAACAATAGCACCATTATCTGAATCTTTAATATTTTCACAATATTTAAATTCATCAATCATATGAGAAACTATTGGTTGTAATTCTTCAATTGTAGTATTCCAATTAACAATTTTCTTTAAAATTATAAAACATGCTTGTAAATGAGTTTTAGCAAAGCTTAAATTGATTATTTGTCCTTCAGTTTCTGTAGGTATTTGTAAAATTGTTTCCCATTCTTCTTCACACATTTTTTTCAAATCTACTGCAGTATTGAAATCATCTTGTGTGATTGGATGTTGTAAAAGACGACAAAGCCATGCTGTTTTGGCACTGATCTCTAAAGCTTTCGAACTAACACCAAGCATTGGATGATTTATCCAAACATTACCATTTGGTACGATATCCGTTGTTAAAAAACTTGATAATTCATCGAAAAATTCAAAAGGTGATGGTACTAACTTTTTAGATAATTTTTCATGATGACATAGCATTAATGTTAATGGATAATTGAAAACAAAATATTCGCAAAGAACTTTATCCAATACTGGAGGTATACCATTTGTCATTATTTTACGTTTTTTCAAAATTTCATATGAAGCACTTAAATGTGAAGCACTCTTTGTAGCATTTAATCCGATATTTTTATCACGAAGACATAATGTTTGTAACAATTGAACACTTATGAATAAATGATCTTCACATCCTGTTGGTGAATTTTGTAAATCTTGAATCAATAGATTAACACAATTGATGTATTTATCATTAGCCATTTTTTGGTATTCATCTTTATTGAAACAAAGTAATGTAGCACCACAAGCCAAAAAAATCTCTCGAACTGTATGACTTGTAGCAGCAAACGGAATAATTAAAGTTGAAGGTAAGAAGGCATTATCTAATTCATGAGATGATGTTATTGATGGTAAGAATTTATCAATGAATTTATTATAACAGAGTTGATCATCATGATCTAGGACAACCCCAGGTATGGTATAGTTATTTGTTGGTTTTATTGAATCATCAATATGAGATAACATATTATCCATCTTACTTAAATCAATATCTATTGACGTCTGTGGTGGATTTTCAGTTTTATTTTCCATTTGAATATTAAGAAATTGGTCAACAAGGGCTATACTATCACCATTGGGTATTGGATCATGAGAATATGAATAAATATTAAGTGAAGCTGGAAGGGGAGCGGTACTATCTGAGTCGGCACCTTGATCTTTGGATATATTACCATTTATTCTGAATGGATTTTGATCTTGTTGTGAACTTCGGGAATTGATTTGTTGGTTTGAATCAGGAGGACCAGGGGTGACATTTGGAGTGATTTTAGGAGTCACACTAGCACTCGTATCAACATGACTAGGCCATTCACAGTTCAGACCAATCCTTGTACAATTTTGACAAATTGGTTTAGCTTCATCACATTTCTTCCTTCTTTTTTTGCAACATAAACAGCCATCAAGCGACTTCTTAAATTTCTTTCTGGCTCTTCTCTGCTTCAGCACACCGTTATCCTCGGGACCTTGGAAGTCTAGGATTTGTTGGTACTGATGATACGTCCCACTAGATACCATCCTTTCGAATCTCCTTGCCTATTAATGAGCCACTGATGCTGGTTGATTGTTCCTGGTCAGCTCTAGCGTCTCTCGAGCTTCAACGGTTTTTGATCTAAAACATTGCAGGCATAAAAATTTTGGCGTTTCGCATAAAAAATTTTAGCGAGCGCGGTGTCTGAAAATGGACAGCGCTCATATCAGCATTGATCTAAAAATTTACAAACTGATAAAGATTTTGTTATAAAAAGTGACATTTCTCGTTGAATTAGTTTGTAATTTCATTGTTTGGAAAGTGAAAGACTCATATTTAACAATGTCCACAGAAACAGAAACAAAAACCACTCTAAGATTGAGTGGTAATCCAGCTCTTTCTTTAAGGGTTGAACCTAATAGGCTCATCAACACGATTCATGAGACCGCACAGTTCGGAGCAAAGTTCCAATGGGGGTCAAGATCAACAGATACTGGTGTCTGTAGACTAGCTTTAAGTGATGAAGACAAGAAAGTCAAAGATTGGTTCGTTAAAGAGGTGGAGGAACTAGGTTGTCAAGTGAAAATTGATGATATTGGTAACATTTTTGCTCTATACCCAGGTCAAGATAACAGCGCTAAACCAACAGGTATGGGATCTCATTTAGATACACAACCAACAGGTGGTAGATATGATGGTATATATGGTGTCCTATCTGGTCTTGAAGTTCTTAGAACTTTGAAAGAAAATAACTATGTTCCTAGATTCCCAATAATGTTGGTCAATTGGATGAATGAAGAAGGTGCTAGATTCCCAATGAGTATTATGGCAAGTTCAGTATGGGCTGGTCTAGCTTCAAAAGAGGATATTTACAGAATGGAATCAGTTACAGATGATAAACCAGTTACAGTGGAACATGAATTATTAAGAATTGGCTATAAAGGTAGCATCCCTTCAAGTTATGAATCAATACCATTAGCTGCACATTTTGAAATTCATATTGAACAAGGTCCAATTCTAGAGAATGAAGAAAAGAAAATTGGTGTTGTAGAAGGTGTTCAAGCTTATACTTGGTGGAAAATTCATGTTAAGGGGAAAGCTCAACATACAGGTACAACACCAATGAATCTAAGAAATGATGCATTATTAGCAGCTTCCAAAATGATTGTTAAAGCTAATGAAATATCTTCAAAATTTGGTGGATTAGCAAGTGTTGGTATTATCAATTCTGGTCCTGGTGTTGTTAATGTTATTCCTGATGAAGTTTCATTTGCTTTAGATATGAGGCATGTTGAAGATTCAAAACTTGAAGAAATGATTCAAGAATTCCAAAATGAATTTCCTAAAGCTTGTAAAGAATCTGGAAATAAATTAAAAGTTGAATTTGAACATTTACATACTCAAAAGGCAACTCATTTTGATAAAACTTGTATTCAATGTGTTGAAGAAAGTGCTTTAGAATTATATGGATCTGGGAATTATAGAAAAATAACAAGTGGTGCTGGTCATGATTCTTGTGCAACAAACACCAGATGTCCAACTTCAATGATTTTCATTCCAAGTAAAGATGGTGTTTCTCATAATCCTGAAGAGTATAGTACACCTGAACAAGTTGATGAAGGGTTTAAAGTCCTGTTGAGTGCTGTTTTGAAATATGATCAGTTGAGAACTGAATGAGTAAAAAGGAGAAGATAAAGAATTAATATTCGAATAAGATAATATAATATAATATGATATGATGTGATAGTGATAGTGATAATATTTTATATGATATGGCGCAGTGTCAAACTTGTGTATTAACCTCTGATAGCGAATCCGCCTAAACCACGATTCACATGCTCTTTTGCAACTTCTATCGAAATTAAGCACGTAACAAAAGAATACGTTATAAATTCAAAAATGATTATGATACGCTATAATGTACTACTTAGCACTGGATCGATCGATACTAAGCTCTCTCAAATGCTCATATGCTGAGAAGGTTAAATTTCCGCTTTGAAATTAGCCTTGAGAATATAGATTTTTAAGATTTCAGATATCATATACAAACTCGGCGAAAATATGAAGATAACTCTTATATTGATTGAATTAAGCCTTAAGCAGGGGTTTGGTTGCCAAATCTATAGTCACTTTCAGGAATGCTACAAGTTTCCATTATCAGTACAATAAATAAATCTAAACAACATCTATAAAATAACTTACGATTAATTACCAGCATCAAAATCGTATACGTAGATACGTAGATAAAAATTTCTTTTGAAAAACAACATCAAACAAATTCCCACATCAACTTAAGATTGGGTTTAATTCTCTCAATTCACCAGTCATATTACTTTTCCCTCTTTTCAAAAAATTTCCATACCCTTTCTCAACCAAAATTTCATCATTTTTATAAACAACTTCACCTCTAATTATTGTTATTTTAGGCCAATTTTTGATCTTTATCCCTTCAAAAGCAGTATAATCAAACTCATGACCTAAATCTTCATTCTTTAATTCATAATTCAATTCATCTTCATTATGCCATATAACTAAATCAGCATCATATCCAACTTTAACATCACCTTTAATACCATCTAACCCATAAAGTTTCGCAACATTTGTACTTGTTAATTGAACGAATTTTATTGGTGATATTCTTTGGTTGGAAACACCATGACTCCAAAGTAATGGTAATCTAGTTTCAACACCTGAAAGACCATTAGGGATTTTTTTATAATCACCTAATCCAAGTTTTTTCCCCTTGAGATCATCATAATTCGATGGTGCATGATCACTAGCAAATATTGTTATGGTACCATTTATTAAAGATTTCCAAACAGATTCTAAATCTTGTTGTGTATCTCTTAATGGTGGTGAACATATATATTTTGCACCTTGGAATGAATCCTTTATTTGGTGGTGATGACTATGATTATGACAAGTTTTCATTAAATTATTCGTTAGAAATAAATATTGTGGACAAGTTTCTGCAAATATTGGTAATGATTCATTTTGAGCATTTTGAACATGATCTAAAGCAATTTTGGAGGACATATGAACAATCAAAAGTGGGATGTTTATAATCTTGGATAATTGGATTACTCTATACGTTGCTTCATCTTCTGCTTCATTAGGTCTTGAAACTGCATGATAATAAGGGTCTAATAAGTTTTTAGATTCTAATTTCTCATTCAAAAATTGTATAATATCAGAATTTTCAGCATGAATCATTTGTGTAATACCCAATTTCCTTGATTCAAGCATTATGGTTAATATTTGATGATCTGTAAGTTTCATGGAATCATAAGTTGTATAAACTTTACATGAAGTTAATCCTAATTCAACTAATTTTGGTAATGATTTAATCAATGGAGTTGTTGGATTTCTAACAATTAAATGAAATCCATAATCACAATAACAATTTCCCCTAGCGTTTTCCAAGTATTCAAATGTATCTTGAATAATTGATGAATTTTCTTCATTATCTTGATCATTTTGTAAAGAAAATGATATAACAGTTGTTGTACCACCTCTAATTGCAATTTTTGTAGCATGTTGGAAAGTGTCTGAATATATAGATTTTGGTTCTTCTAAATGAACATGAGGATCAATACCACCTGGTGTAACATGAGCACCATTACAATTTATAACTTTATCACCATCTAATGGAGTATTGGAAATCTTGGATATTTTCCCATCTTTAATACCAATATACGTTGAAGTAGGTAATATTTCAGAACTTGTAACAATCAGACCATTATGAATCACAGTGTCGTAGAGCATTGTACCACTGTACAGCAGTAAGGATAAATGTAACGACAATATCAACAATCCCAGAAACCCTTTAATAAAGCTCATCAAAATTACCCAAAAACCTATTGTTATTTATATGTTTACGTTGAACCTGGACATTATAATTCCGACCAGGTACAATCACCTGACGCGTCACATGATACTATATACTGGTCGGAATTTACTCCATTCGTCCATTTAATCTTAATTAATTTCAATCGCCGTAATTTTTATCGTTAAAAGTTTTGTATGGTAAATTATAATTTTGGTTTTCTTATCGGTGAATAATTTCTTTGGTATAAACTTTTCTTAATCAGGATTTGGAAATTTTGATTGGCTTATTTTGATTAACTTGCAGTATCTCAAATAATAATTGGCACAATTAATAATACAGCATCGTATACGTATACTCCAGTTAGGCAGCCATGAAATACCTAGATTCAAAGTCATACGCTTTGATGAGATTGGAGTAAATTTTCTTTTTTGAAAATACTTATTGAAGGGCTTATTGCTTATCATTGCTCTTATCAATTATACTGATGCATAATATTTAGGCGTTGACATGTTTGATGTTAATGATAATAGCTAGAAGATGAAATGTTATAAATATTTATAGGTTTCCTTTTGATCTTATTGTTGAGTATTATTGTTGAGTATTACATAGCTATCAACAGAAGTATACACATCATGACAGAATATAGAGATGATGTAAAGAAACAAACAGATATTGAATTAGAAAGAATTGACATTGATCAAGATGTTGGTACATCATCATCGTTTGAACAATATCAAAAACAACAGCATAAAAATCCATTACAAAAATTTTTATATAAAATTTCATTACAAAAAAATGAAGATTTATCATTAAGTGAACAATTTTTAGTTAATAAAGATTTAGAACCAGTTCATGATGAAATTGATAGACCTTGGAGATGGTGGAATTATGTTTCATTTTGGATTGCAGATGCTTTTAATGTTAATACATGGCAAATTGCAGCAACTGGTGTTCAAGCTGGGTTAACATGGTGGGAAACTTGGATTTCAGTTTGGATTGGTTATTCATTAGTTGGTGTATTTCTTTTCATTTCTCAAAGAGTTGGTTCACATTATCATATTGCATTCCCAGTTAGTTGTAGAACTTCATTTGGTACATTTGGTTCAATTTGGCCTATAATAAATAGAGTTGTTATGGCAATTATTTGGTATTCAGTTCAATCTTGGTTAGGTGCTCAATCTGTTGGATTATGTTTAAAAGCAATATTTAGTGCAAATATTGTTAATAGAATTCCAAATAAATTGGCAAGTTCAGGTACAACATCATTTGATTTTTTAGCATATTTTTTATTTTGTCTTTTCCAATTACCATTTATTTATACAAGACCACAATCTCTAAGACATTTATTTACTGTTAAAGCATGGGTTTGTGCTACTGCAGGTGTTGCATTTTTAGTTTGGACTATTGTTCGTGCTGGTGGTATTGGACCAGTTGTTCATCAAAAGACAACATTACAAGGTTCAGCACATGCATGGGCATGGGTTAATTCAATTATGAATTCTTTAGCAAATTTTGCCACTTTAATTGTTAATTCACCAGATTTTTCAAGATTAGCTAAAAAGCCAAAAGATGCTTCATTATCACAATTTTTATCAATTCCAATTTGTTTTGCAGTTACTTCATTAATTGGTATTTTGGCTTCATCAGCTTCAACTGCAATGTATGGAGAAACATTATGGTCACCATTAGATTTATTAGATCGTTATGTTAAAGCTGGTACATCGGGGGATCGTGCTGGTGTTTTTTTCATTGGAGCAGCTTTTGCATTAGCACAAGTTGGTACAAATATTTCAGCAAATTCTATATCAGCAGGTACAGATGGTTCAGCATTATTACCAAAATTTGTTAATATTCGTCGTGGTGGATTTATTTGTGCCACTATAGCTTTTACATTATGTCCATGGAATTTTTTCACTTCATCAGCAAATTTTACTACATATTTAAGTGCATATGCTGTTTTCTTATCATCAATTGCAGGAGTTATTGCAGCAGATTATTGTGTTGTTAGAAGAGGTTATATTAATGTATTCCATTTATATTCAAATGGACCAAAATATAATTATTCATATAATAAATTGGGTATAAATTGGAGAGGTTATGCAGCATATATTTGTGGTATTTTACCAAATGTTGTTGGATTTGCAGGTGCAGTGGGGAATAAAGTTCCAAAAGGTGCAACTTATGTTTATAATTTATCATTTTTCACAGGTTATATAAGTGCATTTGTTGTTTATTGTATATTGTGTTATTTTTTTCCAATTGATGGTATACCAGTTAAAAAATTCCTTACAGAGAAAGGTTGGTATGAAGAAACTATTGATTTTGAATGTGAAGATTTTATGAATGAAATTCAAAATGATCATCCAAATGATTATCAAAAACAAGGTAAATTTTTTTAGAATATATATAGTTTGTTGTTGTTATTGTGATTTTATGTTTTTAGATTTAATATAAATTGAACCTGGCATGTTGGTTTTATAGAGGTATAGATTTTTATCGTAGTTAAGCACTTTCGCTAAAGCCCTGCTCTCCAGAGTTTCCATAATTCGTTAGGCAGAAAGCGCTGCAGACGACCACCCAGCTGATGTCTGTCTGTCTGCCCAAGTCCAGAGCTGCCCACTGCCCAGCTGCCAGGCAAATATATATTAAAATTTTGCACAGGATTTGACATAAAGATAAAGAATGAGCCAATAAGAAGCTAGAACTAAACAGTCACAAAATATAGTACCAAGATTCAAACTACAAAGCAAACCCAATAGTATTCCTCTGCCTAGCTTCTGCCTAGACATTACTTGCCCGATCTCTTCCCCTCTAGCACCCTGTCTAGCACTCTTCCTCTGCCTAGTGCTCTGCCTAGTGCTCTGCCTAGCCACAACAAGCTCACTCTCCAAAATTTCAACGGTCGCTCCCAGAATTTCCCTTTCCAGAAGTCCCCGAAGTTGACAATCAAACGATTTCAAACTCCAATCAACCACCAAAACTGCTATCGAACCACTACAAATTGGAAATCAGGGCAAACCAGACACGTAGAGTTCATATCACAGCTTTAAATTATCGTTTAACAGCTAAATAACCTTGCTTTCCTCACTCCAAACACTTGCCAATTAAATTATCAATTCTAATCAAATGCCACTTGTCGTTTCTTTTTGCACGCGATGAGTTCTTCAGATTTTACTAGGGCACATAAACTCAAAGTGATAGAAAAAAAATTTTATACTGAAAAATTTAATATATATGGGCCATTTGAATCCAATATTCTAGACTTTTACTTTTATTCAATTTCCTGTTCTTAGTATTGTGATAATACCAAACCACAACCAACACCATCAGAAGTGTCAAAGAGCTAAGCTGCCTATCGGGACTTCATCTACTGACCTTCTTTAATACCCTTATCAATAATATTTGCTTATCTTCAAAGGATTAACAACGGTTTTTGCTGCTTTAGCTGATATTAGGTTATATATAAAGGGTTTCCAAGATTTAAATTAGTTGCTTCTTTGTCTATTATCACAATCAAAAGATCACAATCAACAACAACCAAAATGGCTTACGAATTGAAAAAAGAACCAGTCGATATCGATGTTGGGTTTGAAGGTGATGCTGCTACTGGAACTGCTTCATCACTTAGTGATAAAGAAAAATCAAATTCATCAAATTATTCAGGTCCAAAATCAATCTTGTACAAAATGCATAATTTAATTTCATTACAAAAAGATTCTGATTTAACTTTAAGTGAAATGTTTATGTATAATGAAGATTTAAGACCAGTTTTTGATATTAAAGATCGTCCTTGGAATTGGTATAATTATGTTTTTTTTTGGATTGGTGGTGCTTTTAATTTAAACACTTTCCAAATTGCTGGTACTACTGTTTCAATGGGTCTTTCATGGTATGAAACTTGGATTGCCATTTGGATTGGTTATATCCTTGTTAGTTGTGTTTATTATATTGCTCAAAGACCTGGTTCTCATTATCATATTTCATTCCCAGTGGCTTGTAGAGCTACTTTTGGTACTTTTGGTTCAATTTGGCCGGTTATTAATAGAGTTGTTATGGCCATTGTTTGGTGTTCAACAATCACTTGGTTAGGTGGTCAATGTGTTCAATTAGTTTTAAAATCAATCTTTGGTGGTGATTTAGATACAAGAATTCATAATGGTATACCAAAATCAGGTACAACAACTTTTCAATTTTTAAGTTTTTTCATCTTTTGGTTAATTCAATTACCATTTATTTATTGCAAACCTCAAACTATTCGTCATTTATTCACTGTTAAAACTATAATTTGTCCAGCTGCTGGTGTTGCATTTTTAGTTTGGACAATTGTTAAAGCTGGTGGTATTGGTCCAGTTGTTCATCAACATACTACTTTATCATCATCAAAACATGGTTGGGCTTTTGTTATGGGTATTATGAATTGTTTTAATAATTTTTCAACTTTAATTGTTAATTCATCAGATTTTACAAGAGTTGCTAAAACTCCAAAATCTTCATCTTGGTCTCAATTTATTGGTATTCCAATTGCTTTATCATTAACTTCATTAATTGGTATCTTGGCTGCTTCAGCTTCTACTCCAATGTATGGTGAAACTTATTGGTCACCAGTTGATTTAATGAATCGTTATGTTGAAGAAGGTACCCCAGGAAACCGTGCTGGTGTTTTCTTTATTGCTGCTTCATTTGCATTAGCTCAAGTTGGTACAAATATTGCATCAAATACAATTTCTGCAGGTTGTGATATGGCTGCTTTATTACCACAATATATTAATATTCGTCGTGGTGCATTTTTATGTGTTATGATTGTTTTATGTATTTGTCCATGGAATTTCTTCACTTCATCATCAAATTTCACTACATATTTAAGTGCTTATGCTGTTTTCCTTTCATCTATTGCTGGTGTTGTTTCAGCTGATTATACAATTGTTAGAAGAGGTTATTTAAATGTTTTCCATTTATATACAAATGGTGGATCATATAATTATTCTTATAATAAATTGGGTATAAATTGGAGAGCTTTTGCAGCTTATATTTGTGGTATTTTACCAAATGTTGTTGGGTTTGCAGGTGCTGTTGGTAATGATGTTCCAAAAGGTGCTACTTATATCTATAACGTTTCATATTTTGCAGGTTATATTGTTGCATATGTTTCGTATTGTGTTTTGGTTTATATTTCTCCTGTTGAAGGTATGCCTGTTAAAAATTTCCTTACAGAAGGAGGTTGGTATGAAGATTATCTTGATATTGAAGTTGATGATTTTTCTAAAGCTATCAATGAACCACATCCAAATGAATACTCCAAAGAAGGAAAGAAATTTCTATGAGTTTAAAACTACAATCTCAATCATTCGTCATATCATTTCATGTATTATAGAAAAAAAGAAATCATTATTTTGTTTTTCCATGCATATATCATCAAAGTTAATTACCCCATATTGAAAAAGAAGAAAAAAAAAGAAGGATTTTACTTATGATCCCCCAAGAGTTGATGTTTTTGTCTTTTATTTATTATTGTTATTTTGCTCTTTATATGATGTTGTTTTTTATCCCCCAATTGATCATGTTATTTAATATCTAATGCATACAAAACAATATCTGAAAAAAAGCTAAAATACACATATAAGCCCTATAATAACCTTTAAAATTCGATTAAACTTTACTTTCAATCTTTTAATTCGTTCCGTTCAGTGTGTCATACGTTTAGTTGACTACGTTTGGTTCGTTTTTAGGTTGCATACGTTTAGTTTGTTTTTTTGGGTTTGGGTTTTATGTTTAATTAGTTTAATCTATTTGGTGATGGTTTTATTTGGTTGGGTTTGGTAACTGATTAGAATTTAGTTATCAAAATTTGGAGATTTGTTCATTATTAGGTCAAATGGTATCAGGATATGGATTTTACTTAAACGAGATTCAAAGAAATAGGGGTTAAATCATGGAAATTTGAGCTAGAGAACTAGACATTTCGTGATGGTACCAAATATCTGATACATATATAATGATCTGATGGTTATTCAATATGAATTTCCATAAGTCTTTGTTGGATATGAAGTTTATCAACCGTTATAAAAGTTTATTATATTAACAAAATTCCTGGTTTGCACCACAGTGACCGCATTGCATAAATTAATTTTTTTTCTTAGTATAACGCGTTACTTTTGCAGGTAGTTTTAAATGGGATTTAAATGAGAATAGCTTGAATGATTCAGGTGAATTTGAAAAGGTATTCTTACTGCTGAGATATGAATCTATAATGTACTCGAAATTTGTAAATTTGTATTGGGTTTCTTCACGGATTTCCCCTGATTTTTTGCTTCTAAATTGACTGAAAGCCGCTTTTTATCATGCATGGAAATGCGTAAAACCAGAAAAAAAAGTTTGTATACAGTCATTGTCATATAGAAAATTTTCATCACCAAGAGGTCGAATGATATTGAAATTAGAAAGTATAAAGAAGATGAGATATCCCCAGTTTGAAGATTCACTGGTGTTGTGTTTTTGAAAAAGTCATCTCAGGAACTTAGCTGAAGATCACACAAAGCACGGAAACCAAACTACAGAAGTTACCAGAGATATCATGACCAAATTACAAGATAAACCTGATGATATTTCAATTGATGCCAAATCTACAACTTCATTAGATTCTCAATATAATGAAAAATCAACAGCTTCTAAGGGCAATTTGTTTTCAAGACTTTTAGAATCTATATCTTTACAGAAAGATTGTCAATTATCATTATCAGAAAATTTCTTACTTAATGAAGATCTTCAACCTGTTTTCGACAAGACTGAACGTCCATGGCATTGGTATAATTTTGTGTTTCTTTGGGTCGCTGAATCATTCAATATCAATACATGGCAAATAGCCAGTAGTGGTATTATTGCAGGTCTTTCATGGTGGGAAACTTGGATTTCTGTTTGGTTAGGTTATTCAATTTTAGGTTGTTTTATTTTCATTTCTCAAAGAGTCGGTTCTCATTATCATGTTCCATTCCCGGTTGGTGCTAGAACTTCATTTGGTACTTTTGGTTCCATTTGGCCTATTTTAAATAGAGTTGTCATGGGTTGTGTTTGGTATTCTGTTCAAGCATGGCTTGGTGGTGAATCATTTGCATTAGTCTTGAAAGCTATATTTGGTGCTAATATTGAAGAAAAAATTCCAAATAAAATTGCTAGTTCAGGTACTTCATCATTTCATTTCTTATCATATTTTTTATTTTGTTTGATTTCTTTACCATTTATTTATTTTAGACCTCAACAAATTCGTCATTTATTTACAGTTAAAGCTTGGACTTGTGCTATTGCTGGTGTTGCATTCCTTGTTTGGACTATTGTACGTGCTGGTGGTATTGGTCCAGTTGTTCATCATAAAACTTCATTAACAGGTTCAGCTCATGCTTGGGCTTTTGTTATTTCTACAATGAATTGTGTTGCAAATTTTGCAACTTTAGTTATAAATTCACCAGATTTTTCAAGATTAGCATATTCACCAAGTTCATCATCTTATTCACAATTAATTGCAATTCCTTGTGGATTTTCTATAACTGCATTGATTGGTATTTTAGCATCTTCAGCTTCAACTTCAATGTTTGGTGAAACTTATTGGTCACCATTAGACTTATTAAACAGATATGTTGAATCAGGTACAGCTGGTGATCGTGCTGGTGTGTTTTTCATTGCAGGTTCATTTGTTCTAGCACAAATTGGTACAAATATCTCTGCAAACTCAATTAGTGTTGGTACAGATGGTTCAGCATTATTACCAAGATTTATAAACATTCGTCGTGGTGGGTTCATTTGTGCTACAATTGCATTCTGTTTATGTCCATGGAATTTCTTCACAAGTGCAGCTAATTTTACAACATATTTAAGTGCTTATGCTGTTTTCCTTTCTTCAGTTGCTGGTGTTGTTGCAGCGGATTATCTTGTTGTGAGAAGAGGTTATATCAATGTATTCCATTTATATTCAAACAAACGTGAATATCATTATTCATATAATAAATTTGGTATAAATTGGAGAGGTTATGCAGCATATATTTGTGGTATCTTACCAAACGTTGTTGGATTTGCAGGTGCTGTGGGAACAAAAGTCCCAATCGGTGCAACTTATATCTATAACGTTTCATTTTTCAGTGGGTATATTACAGCATTTGCTGTTTATTGTTTCTTATGTTGGTTAAGTCCTGTTCCAGGTATTCCATTAAAGAATTTCATTACTGAAAAAGGTTGGTATGAACAAAATATTAATTATGATGTTGATGATTTTGTTGAAGCTATGGGTAGACCTGATGATTTTGTTAGGATTAGATGATAATAATTTGACATTGAATTGGAAGTTGTATATAAAGTTAGTTAGAATTATAGAATAGAAAAGTTTATCATGAATCGTACCACAATTCGATAGTCAGCTTGAGTCGTGCTTTTATTTCCGTGCTTTGTGTGCATTAAGTTGACTACGTTGTGTGCGTTTAGTTTGTTTTATTTGATTTTGGAGTTTATCAAAGGAGTTTTGCATATATAGTCATGTTTAATAATTAAATAATTATTGATAGATCATGTTTTGACGTAGTTATACAGTTTATAATCAACCTACATTGAACTAAACATAATTTCTCATAAAATTCATTTAAATATACAGATTGATTTTAATATATAATTTATGTAAGTTATCAAACGCATCAAGCGCATTTAAGAATAGAAGCATTAATAAAATATGGAATATTCATAATTTTGATTTATCAGAAACCAAATTCAAAGCAGCATTGTTAATAACAACTGCATCTTTTCTATCAGCAGCTAATGCTTGGAAAATAACTTTGTTACCTTGTTTCCAAGCTTTAACTTTCAATCTTTCACCTGGGAAGAAGACATTTGTAAAACGAACTTTGACTTCATTGAAAGGACCATATTTTTCATACAATTGTTTAACACTAACACCAAAGAATCCTAAACCATGTAAGATTGGATTTGGGAAGTTTGCCTTCTTAGCCAATTTTGGATCAATATGTAAGGGGTTATAATCACCAGATAATCTATAAATAGCAGCTTGATCTGGTGAAGTTTGAACAATAGTTTCAAAATCTGGAGCAGAATCCGGAATCTTGTTTGATGAAGTTGCAAAAGTTGATCTTTTACCTTTAATAAATTCCTTTTTAGCTTGTGCTTTTCTAGTAAATGTAGTCATTTCATTATAAAATAATTGTTCACCTGAATCAATATCAAAAGTTTTGAAACCAGCAACAACAATTGCAGCTTTGTCACCTTTATTTTGGACTGCAATTGGAGATGATTCAGTACGTAATTTAGCAGCTGTTGGTAATGGTAATTTGTTAATCTTTAAATATTGTTCACCATGTAATAAATAAGCATAATTGAAATTATCCAATAAATCACTGAAATTCACACCACCATCATTCTTATTCATGAATGGAATAACACCATATGTTGGTAATAATTGGAAATCTGGAGATAATTCATAAGTGTATTTCAACTCCTTAGCAGTTGCACCAAGACCTAAATTATACAAGATAGAATCACGTTCAGTATATTCAAAGACATTATCATTCTTTTCATCTTCAGCGTCTTCATCATCTTCCTCTTCATCTTCATCTTCATCATCATTACCACCAAGTCTTTCAAAAATACCCATATATGATTCTTCTGCAGATTTACAAATTTGATATTCATCAAAATTGGTGATTTCACTCCAATGATCTCTAATAAATTCAGGAGTGATTTTTGGATCTTTAGAGACTGCACCAAATGATCTTTGTAATCTAGTATTACCAACCCAACCGGCACCAACTTCAAATACTTCACCAGTGGTATTAACTTTATCAGAAGCTAACAAGACATAAAATGGAGAGACTTGAGAAGCATCGAATTTGTTAAATTCTTCTTTCTTAAACATGGTAGCAGTCATTGCAGTTTCAGCATGTGGTGCAATTGCGTTAACTCTAATGTTTGATCTTTTACCTTCAATAGCTAAAGTTCTGGAGAAACCAATCATTGCAGATTTAGCAGCTGCATAATTTGTTTGACCAAAGTTACCATAAATACCTGAAGTTGAAGTGGTATTAATCACAACACCAGATTTTTGTTTTAAGAAAATTGGCCAAACTTGTTTTGTTAATCTGAAAGTAGCTAAAACATGAACATCTTGAACTGAGAACCATTCTTCATCAGTAATTTTAGCAAATGAACGATCTCTTAAAATACCTGCATTATTAACTAAAATATCAATACGACCAAAAGTATCTAATGCAGTCTTAACAATTTTATCAGATTCAGTAACAACATTAGTTTTACTTCCAACAGCTTCCCCACCAGCGTTTTTAATTTCATTAACAACTGGTTGTGGATCTTTAAAATCATTAACAACAACTTTTGCACCAGCTTTAGCAAATGCAAGAGCATGCGCGCGACCTAAACCTGCACCTGAACCTGTAATGATAACAACTTTCCCCTTTAATGAAACTTTTTCATTTGATTGTTTATTTGATGGTAATTTTTTACCTTCTTCCACTAATCTTAAATAATCTGCAATATGAATTGGATTTTCAACTTTATTAAATGGTTTATCTTCAAATTTGAAAATTCCATCGTATTTAGCTAAGATAGCTTCTGGTGTAAAAGTTTCATCAAGTTTAAACAATTCACCAGATGATCTTTGCCAACGAACTTGACCATAATAACCAGCAGCCAATTCAAAAAGTTGATTAGAAGCTTTTGAAGAATCATGTGTTAAATAAACAACCAATGGAACAATACGATCTGGATTTAAACTTTCCAACATTGATTTTGGTAAGACATCTTCAGTCATTCTTGATCTTGCCAATGGAGCAATCATATTTGCATTGATATTATATTTAAAACCTTCTTTAGCTAAAGTTTCACCAAATCCAATTAAAGCAGATTTAGCGGCAGAATAATTTGCTTGCCCAAAATTACCATAAAGACCAGCAGGAGAAGCGGTATTAACAATTCTACCATATTTTTGATCTTTAAAATAAGGCCATGCAGCTCTTGTCAATTTATAGGCACCATTTAAATGGACATCATAAACCAATTTGAAATCATTTTCAGACATGTTTTTAAATGAAGTATCTCTTAGAATACCGGCATTATTAATAACAACATGAACAGTACCAAAGTTATCCACAGCGGTTTTGATAATCTTATCACCAAATTCAACAGAATCATAATTGGCCACAGCGGTACCTCCCAATTTTTTAATTTCATCAACAACAACATCGGCAGCTTTTGAATTGTGAGCTCCATCACCTTTTAAAGACCCACCCAAGTCATTAACCACAACTTTGGCACCTCTTTTAGCATATTCAAGAGCGTATTGTCTTCCTAGTCCACCACCAGCACCTGTGATGACGACGACTTTCCCATCAAACCTCAATTGTGACATTGTGGTATAATTGCTTTGTTTAATTTGTGTTTCGTTATTGTATATTGTTTACAATCAAAACTTGACCCTGTCAAAAAATAAGAACTGATGATCTAAAAAATGTAGGATCAATTGCGGTTTAAATAAGTGTCTAACCGGTAAACAACTTGAATAATTTGCGGGGTCCTTTAGACTTGATCTGAACCTGAACAATGACTGAATTCAATTGACAGAATATTTCAATTGCCACTTTTCTGTGAAGCATCTTAAAAGTAAAACTCTGAACAAAATTGATTCCCAGCTGTTCTTGCTGCCGAGGTCTGAGCTAATTCCCGTTTCCATCTCCATCTCCAGTTTTTACCCAGGCGGCTCTTCTCTTGGGCTTTTCTTGTGCCGAGTTAAGCAGGTGGCTGCCTAAGTCCCTTGCGGGTGTTGTAGGGTTTAGGCGGATTAACCACTAAACGCGAAAAATATTTAGCTGACGTGATGAGCAGCTGCCAGCTACGCTGATAATGAGCTGAGTTATGAAGCGCGAATAAGCGATATGCATAGAACATCTTATTGTCTAGTGAGTATTAAATGTAATTGATATATATTGTATAGTCTATAACCCATATAAATACTTCATGATATCCCTTTGCTCCATAGCCTGGTACTCTATCTCATCTCGTTTCTCAATACCTCCGTTCAATTTCTCCATATTGTTCACTTCAAAATATTTGTTAACACAACTCCATCTATGCCATGTAAAATCTCTATTTGGACTACATCTACAATTCAATTCTTCTCTTATTGAATCCACCCTTGGACAATCTTGATTTGGATGATGGAAATATCCAGTGTTAGCAACAAATTGGATTTGATCTGGTGATAATAATAACGAGGCTGCTATAGTATGGACTGGTGCATCACCCCAACGTTCATAAAAGAATCCACCTTTTGAATCTAAAAATTGGAAAAATTTCTCATATTTTTCACTTCTAAAGAATTTAAATGATCCAATTTCAAAATTTGACCAAAAATGACACATGTTATAAGTTTCTCCATCATCATCACTTATAAATTTCAAATTATTTGGTTGACTAATTAAATCTTTATTTTCCTTCATAAATTCTTTAACCGAGTCCCATAACGTAGGTATTGTTTTAGAATCTTCAGTTAATCCCATATTAAAACCATACATCTTATCTTCTTGTTTCATTTTCTTGAAAACATCATAATTTATATCACATTTAAATTTAACATCAGGTTCAACTCTCCAATAATAATCAAATTTTTGTAATTCTTTCAACTTATAAAAAAAACCTGAATTGAAACGACACATATGTCTATATGATTCACTATCACCATACATCATTCCTGCATTAGCAGCATTTCTTCTTGATCTTTCAGCTTTCTTCAAATCTATAAAATCTGGATATGACCAATATTCCTTGGGTATTGTAATGAATTCAACTTCACCAGATACTAATTCATCAACTTTTGTTTTGAATTCATCATCAAATGGTTCATTATTTGCAAAATACCAAGGATAATGATAATTTTTATTAAAACTTGATTCTAAATTTTTAATTGATTGTAAAATACCATTTAAATCTGAATTTCTAGCTAATGTAAATAAAACTGCATTTTCATTCTCCAAATTTGGCATTGGTTTGGAGATAGGTTGATATTCACTTTCAACTTTTTGATCTGTTATATTTAATACACTTGTATCTTCTATGAATTCTTTAGTTGGATCCTTTTGATTCTCTGTTGGTGATTCTTTACCAAATTTATCAACAATTTTGTCTTTTAAATCTTGAACATCATAATCATACGTATATGAAATTGTACTAATAATCAATATAATAGTCAAAGCCAGAAGAGCAATAAATGATGTCCTGAGTACAGACCTCTTGGTTGGCATGATTGTCTATGATTCCACCAGTTGAGTTTTCATTTTGTTATAATTTGTGTCAGTTTAAGTTCACAAAAATCGATGTTATTCTGTGTAATTTTTACACGACTGTGCCTCGGGAACCAAAGGTAAATCTGGATTCTGCACCTATCAAAACAATATCTAGGAACTAGAAAGTAGAAACACTTCTACATAAAGCATAATATCTAATCAACCAATAGAAACACATTTATATTAGTTGTAGATTGTACGATAAATTAATATTCTACAAAAATATATTTATAAAACAGGCCAAAAACACGGCTTTAACATAATATTAAATGAACCACGATATATAAGCTGATAGTTGACAGAGGTATAAAAACTGAACAACCTAGAGCATTAAAATTAATTCAACATCATATAAAAAACCATCATTTTTGAAAAATTAAACCCACAAAATAAAAATTAGTTTTACAATCACGGTATTTAACTCAAGTGATTAAACTTAAGCAGCAACAGTGACTTCGACATCAACACCTGGTTCGATGGTGATTTGAGTGATCTTTTTAACAACAGCAGCTGGAGCTTGTAAATCGATAACACGTTTGTGGATTCTTAATTCATAAGTATCCCAGGTTTTAGAACCTTCACCATTTGGAGTTTTTCTAGTGGTAACTTTTAAAACTTTAGTTGGGATTCTAACTGGACCTTTTTTAACTAAGTTGAAAGTTTCAGCATTTCTGATAATGTTAGCAGAAACTTTTTCCAATTGTTTAACTTTAGTAGAAACTAAAGTAATTCTAATTTTGTGGATTTGAGGTTGTTGTTCGGTAACTTTGTCTTTTTGAACGTCAGCCATTTTGAAATTATACCTTTTGACTTTTTTGAAGTTGGTTAAGCTCTTTTAATAATGATCTATGTTTATGGTTAAAAGATGGTTATATTTTTTTTTTCACTGGGTATCCCAAACCGCACCAAAATGAAAAAAAAAAATCATCACCATTCGCGAATGAATATAAATGGTGTTTGGATGCAATAAAGTCACATGGTATAGTCACATGACTAAAATGTTAGGGCTTTGATATTCTGGTTTTCGAAATCACCGAATTTAACCGTCGGGTTTATCTTGTGTGCGCTGCTACTTATCTCGATTGTTTTGGATAAGGGATCTTTGACACATGGAGATTGTATTTAAACACAAGGAAAGTACTACAATTGCCACTTTATTATCGTTGAAAAGCGCTTTATACCACAAATAAACCATAGAAAATGACAAGACAAGAAGATATTAAACATTTATTAACAATTCAATCTGTTAGAGAGCGTACTTCCCCAATATTAAAACTTGCTCTTGATAACAACCTTGATTATTTTGAAGTTGATCTCGAGAAAGTTCCAAATGTTGTCAAGTATGTTATTGAAAGAATTACAAGAGATTTCAAAGATTTAAGTAGAATTCCACCTCATGGTCGTTGGGGTCATTTAAATGCTGGTGGTCATGATCGTGTTGAACAATTGATTTCTAAATGGAGAGCATTGCTATTGGATGATATCGAAATTGGTAAAAGATTAATTGATCTCTTTGTTTTCAGTGTCTTAGTTGATGCAGGTGCTGGTAATGAGTGGAGTTATAAAGAATCTGATACTCATGAAACTTATAATAGAAGTGAAGGTTTAGCAGTTGCTTCAGTTGATTTATTCAAAAATGGTAAATTGAGCAACAATAAGGAAGATCAAATTGTTCATGGTGAAGCTTTACTAAATTTTACCAATGAAGATTTAATAGATGCATTCCAAATCACTGATTCAAATCCATTGAGTGGTCAAGATGGTAGATTACAATTAATTCAAAATCTTGGGAAAGCATTGGTTAAAAACAAAACAATATTTGGTAAAGATTCAAGACCAGGTAATATGATTGATTATCTTAAAACTAAAACCATTGGTGATAGTAACAAGCTGGACTTAACACAATTATGGAATACATTAATGGAAGGTTTCACACCAATTTGGCCAAAAGGACGAGTTGAAATTGATGGTATCTCCTTAGGTGATTCATGGTCATTATCAACTATATCAAAATTAGACGGTGTTAAAGATGAATTGGATACTATAGTACCATTCCATAAATTGACACAATGGTTATCATATTCATTAATTGTTCCATTAGAAAGATATGGGTATCAGTTCCAAATTTTAAATCAAGAACTACAAACTGGATTACCAGAATATAGAAATGGTGGATTATTCTATGATTTTGGTGTGATCACATTAAAACATGAACATTTGGCTCGTGGATTACATCTATCGTCACAAATCAAATCTAAAACTCCAAAGATCCCAAGTTTCACACCAGATGATGGGGTTATTGTGGAATGGAGAGCTATAACAATTGGATTTTTGGATTATATTTTACCTCTGGTCAACAAGGAATTAAATTATGATTTAAAACTCCCTCAATTGATTGAAGCTGGTAGTTGGAAATCAGGTCGTGAGATTGCTGCTGAATTAAGACCAGAAACTAAAGGTCCACCAATTGATTTGTATAGTGATGGTACAGTATTCTGAAGTTTGAACTGATCATCATTTAATCCCCCGCCAAAAAATATACGATAATAAGTTTCACCAAATCAACACATCATAATTATACATACCTATTTATAATACTCTTGGCTAACGTAAACAAACTAGAGAAAGATCTATATTTGATCGATTCTATATATAAGTTTACGAAATTGATCGTGTGACTTCAGTCTTCAACTTTAAGACTTAAATATAATAAATTTGTCCAAAAGTTTTAAAATTAATCTAGACTAGACCTCTACAAGTTACTGCAGTTAGTCGACGGTCGAGGCCCTAAACTTAAAACCTAAAATTATCAGATGGTGCAGGGTATAGCATTTTTTGGGCACGCGATTAACTAACAAAACGGGAAGCTGGGCAAGGGCTCAAGACCCAAGACTCATAATTATAATATTATTAATATAAACGCGAATCACATAATTTGTTATATATGAAAAGAATCCAGAATCCAGATTGCAGTGCACACGAGATTGTGTGTGTTCAAACTTCACTGTTTAGCAGAGTTAATTACTGTTGTCTTTTGTGAAGGAAAACACGTCACCTTTGGGTATTTAAAGTCACCGTGACGAATGGACCTATTAAGATCAATTATTTGCAGGTAGATCTATTTAATCTAACGGCCGAATCTTGACGCTTGACTCCAGAGTCCAGACTCTATTAATATATCAACAGCACTTCTAGTATTTTGTAGTTACGATGGGTAGTAGCTCAATATATAGAGATATTTGTATTGATTTGAGAAGCCATGCTAATGTTCACACGCTCATTAATTAACACAAATTTCAAGTTTCAACCCTGCAATTATAGCATCACAAATCTGAGACATTGATTACAGCTGTAAAGCGTATATATATGAATTTTGAAAGTTATAACTAATTATAAGTTATCACGCTAGTCTGTCTACAAACATTTTTCGAAATCTAGTATCGTAGCGAACCCCTATAAATGCCAATGTTTTATTTACTATTTTCATATGTTGTATGTATTTATTAAAAGCTCATTGAAACTCCTTTGAATCAAAATGTCTGAAAATTGGTGAATCTTCCTTACTCAATTCAGAAGCATCTTCTCCTTGTCCAACAACTTTTTCAAATTCAATCAAATGCTTTTCATAAGCTTTATGAGTATTTTGCCATCCTTTTAATATTTCAGTATTATTACAAGCACCATAAAGTGTTAATTCACCTTGATCATCAAATCTTTCTGATGTTGGTGGAATTTTCTTCTTTTCACAAATTTGATTTGGAATCCACATACCTAAATCCTTTTGCCAATTATGATCTTCATTATAAACTCTATCGGTACATTTTGAACCATATAATCTATGCAAAACATTCTTTGGTTTATTTGGAATATAAGTTTGTGCACCTTCAAATATTGTTCTTCTTAATGGGAAAATATCACTATATATATTCCATTTATAATTTTTACAATGGAATGCAATTTCACCTTCTGCTGGTTTTATAGTTTCTGGACGTGGTGTATCATCAACCCATTGTACAGAAATATCAATATAGATACCAGATTTAACCTCAATGTATCTTGAATCAATATGTTGTTTATCATCATGTTGCATATACCATGGGTTGGTTTGGAAAAGGAATAAATGATCACCTAGATTTGGATTTTCCATAACTAATGTATTATTATAATGACGACCTAATTTATGTTGATCTTTAAATGAAATTTGAACATCTAAATCAGTATCCCATGGTAGATTTTGAGAATTGAAAAACCAACCATATAAATTACCATAACTAAACCATGAAACAACTTGAGCATTTTCTGCAAATTTAAACCATGATCTAATAGTATGATGAATGATTTTCAATCTTTCTTCATGTGATGAAATTTGTTTCATCCATGGGTAATTATAATGAACTAATTCATGTTTCATAACATCAACTTGAATTCTTAAACTTGTGAAATAAAATGATTTTGTTTTACCAGCACCATGCGAATTTGAATAACGCAT